TCGGTAAACAACTGGGATAAGCCGAGTTCATTCCGTGCTATTGTTTATCCACCAACACGAAGTGACAGACCATACAGAGGTTGGCAGCCAGAATTGTAAACCTGGCAACAGAGCGACGTTTAAACCCTTCGCTGTTGCCTTGGCTACTGTATTTCTGTTGTCGCAACAACGAAAATGGTAAAAAGATTGTAAATGCCCCGCTTTCACTATCCTTCGACTACACCTTTTGGCATAACAACGGTTCTAAGTAAGCAATGGGAAATAGGAAAATCATGCTTTGTCATCTTCACTTTTATTACTTTTGACAGTGTGAAGTATTATGTACCATTAGTCGCACAAGATGAAACTTTCATTTCGACTTTAAATCCTGTTTTCCGAGTTATCGTGCTCGCCATCCGGCAGGGAAGTTAAGTCTCGGTTTCTCCGCGGGAGTGCGTGAGACGCCGTGGGAAATAATAAGTCATTGTTCCGTCAGACAGGCCTGTGTTTGTGGCTGTGGCCTTGCGTGGGGCAGGTCAAAGTTTGGCAATGTCATTTGGACTGGGGCTCGGCAGTTTGCACTAGGGCCATGGGTGACTGCTAGGGGATAGAGGACACAATAAGGTGCTTTAGCGGAGCTTTCAGGAAATGGGAGTGGGAAGCTGATGCTTTTAGACGTGTAATGTTTACTTGTACAGCAAACATTATTCTCTATCACTGTATATATATATATATTCCTCATACTGCAATATACTGTGGTCTGGTGGGCACAAATTGTTACTTGCAAGTTTCTCTGACCACAAGTCTCAGAATGTTACATAATCAACACAGGTGTATGGTCAAAATGTACCACTGCCAGGAACGATACACTACTGACAACTTCAGAAAAGAATTTTAAATTCCTGAAGAATTATTGATTTTAATGCCAGATTGTTAATGTGTTAGTAGGTAAAATCCAGTAGATTCATAATTGAAGCACACATACATTTCAAAGTTAATCTTGTTACAAATGAGTTATAGTGATAACTTTGGGGAAAGATTACTTCATGCTGTTTTATTACAGTAAATGTCTGCACGGTAAGGAACTTTCCACTACTGACATTTCAAAGAGACAGGATTAAGAGGAGTCATGTGAACTACTGTGTCAGAGCCTGGCTCTCAGAAACATCTGTCACCATTGACTGGCACTTACCAGTGGGGGGAGGCACGTATTTCAACCTTGGTGGGAATAACTCTGACATTAGAGAGGAGGCCAAAGCAAAACAACTGTTTGTTGCAGGGCAGTGACCTGTCACAGTTGTTACCGCTCTGTGTACTTGTATAGGCATGGCCATTCCCATTGAGTAAATGACTTTGAATACTAAATACTTGTATTTATTGTGTTATTGCCTTTGCCGAGAGGGTTATGTTTTTGATGGCACTTGTGTGTGATTTAGCATGATATTATAAGAAGCTTTGGATGGATTGTCATCAAATTTGGTAGGTGGGTAGGTCTTGACCTATCAAAGTATGGATTAGATTTTAGACTTTCCTTGATATTGCAGCAGAACTTTATACAATGTAATTGTGAAAACATGTACGATGCTATATTGACAAGGGTTTAGGCAATTTTTTAATCTTTTCTCTATAAAAAATATTATGCCTTTAAAGTTTTTTGTTATGACAAAATGACAATATCTGCTGTACACAAGATTTTAGCTTTTTCTGCCATCAATGAAAGTAAAAGTCAAGGATTACTTTTACTTTCAGTTTCACAGCTGGCAGATTCAAATGTTAAAGTTTGAGTTACTTGAGTGAGACATAACATGTGTGTTTGGGAATGTGGTAGGCAGAGATAGTGAGGGCCCAGGGTCAGCTACAGTATTCTGTGTTGTGGTTACAACATGACAACATGGTTACATGTGTCCACAGTACACAAACCATGCTCAGGTCTTACAAACAAGTTTAAATGCCACAGTGGGAGTCAAAGTCTTTCTCACACCAAATGGTGCATAGGGTGGCACCCATCTCTGTATCATTAGCCCTTAGGCCACACAGTGGTGCAAGCACTACAGGAGAGGGCTAGTCCATGGGTAGTAGGATGTGTGTGTTCACTATCATACTCTTTTCCAAGTGCTGAGTGCTAAGCAGAATGTATTTATGAAGTGTTTGGTATCACTTGACTGGGGATTGAACTCACGACCTACCAAATGCATGTCAAGCACTCAACTTATTTGGCACCTGGTGTATGTACGTTTTTTTCAGTGCAAGTCATTTTTTTTTCATGGGCATCAGTGCAAGTTGACTCAAACATGTATTCCAGCGGTGGTCAAAAACTGCCTTGCATTACTCAAAGTAGTATCAATGTAGACAGCTGAGAACTTTTTAAATTTTTCAGAACATTTTAATTTTTTTTATAAACTGATTAGCAAAGAAACAGCAGTGCATATGTAACTTGTCTGGTACAGGTAATTTTGAACGTTACCTGCACCAGTGCAGATAGGCAGAAAAAGGATTTCCAGCTCTAATCTACTGTACAGGTACATTTGCATATCCCCACAGTGTCACTGCACTTCAGCTATGTCCTTGTCTTTCACCTTGGTCCCACCTGAGTGATGTTCCAGTGCGTGATATTCGGTAAAAGCCAGGTTTAATTGATTAGGTCAGCTCGGTAGCCTTATCAGCTGGTAGCAGGTGCATGGTTGAACGCGCCTTGTCGTCCCACGCAGGACGAGTTTAAACTAGCAGCACTTCTCCTAATGAAAGACGGTAATGCCTGCTTACACCTTGAAGCCTAAGTATAATCCTCCCAAGATCCTTTTTTTTTTTCAAGCTTGAGGGCTGAAGTTTGTAGTCTCCCGGTAATAGAGACTAATGTTCACTGTGCAGTAAGAAATCTTTGGTAAGATTAAAACAATAGGCACATCTGATGGGGAAATAGAAAGTTTCAATACTTAAAAAATGTAAGTCTGGCACTTTGCTTTGTAGTTTTGCTTCTATCAGTATCAATCTCTTTGCCATAGTATAGATAAGGCTATCGGCTTTGTAAAACATACGGAAAGCAACATTAAAATGCACTGTGTAGTTTCGCTGACTTTTGTCATGATTGATCTAGATATGATATAACTACCCTATTTGTTATACTTATAATTCATGAGTCGACTGATCTTTACATAGTTGAAAACCCTACATAACGTTATCTTAGTTGAAAACCATGATGTTATCAACAACCTTTTCTTTGGTCATATGATCCTACAAGTTTGAAATCAGTTGGCAGCAACATGAAAGACTACTGTTGAACTAAAAAGCAGGATGTTATCATGGATGAAAAGATAGGAGATCTGGATGTTTCCTACAGATAAAGAAACTGACTTTTTTTAGTGGAAATTTACAGCTCAGAAACGGTCCCTAGCCTTAAAAAGATCAGAATTAAGGAGCATTTGAATGACTTCATGCTCATTTATCTCACCACTTGCCAATTTTGCTGTCAATTGTACGGTTAGCAGGGAGAGAGCATTTGTTATTCCCTCACCGCTGCATTTGGTATGCAAATGAGTCTTGGGACTGATGTGGGATTTACAGGAAATCCTGCGCCTAACTCACCATTTGGTGGGCAGAAAGTAGGCTACAAATATACTGTGGGTTAGAATGAAAATGTTGTGTTTTGCTAGAATTTTTGTGGTCGAATGTTTTGGTAGATCAAAAGGTTTTGCTGTAGTAGTTTTGTTTTCAGAATTAGCCTCATATCAGCTCTTTATTACACCTACCTAATTATGCATGCCTGTTGCTTATGATGATAGATGATGGAGCGGAACATTACATTCTCTGATTTCAGGATTTTTCTGACATTTTCTCCCCTCCGGGACGTAGCGCTGAGTCAGTGAGCTGTGGTTGAAATTTCCAGAAGCGTCTGTGCTTATTGTCTAACATTCGTTTTCATTCCGTATAGAACATAAAATCTGGCTTTATTTGATGCATAAATCACCCTCACCCCCATGACTTACCGCTGCTTTTTACTAATAGATTGCCTCAGGAGTAAAGGGCAACTGTGATATATTCAGTTTGTCCTTGATCTGATGGCTGTGTGAGTATTTTGAATATATCGATCAGTCGGGGCTATGAAATCCATTGAACGTACTGATGAAACGACGACGCAGGCGTCTCTGTTTCTCTACGGGTTTGTTTTGGGTGTAAGTCGCACATGTGACACGTCTGCATACGGAGCAGCATAATGTGTGCGTGGTGGTCACCGTCGGGTGTCGGACCAGCAGTGTGGCTACATCATTGCGAAGGATGGGAAATCTAACACACGGGATTAGTGATGTGCCAGCATAATGTGATTCTAGTCGATTGGACACCGGGCAAGGTTGGAATGGGGCAGTTGAGAAATAACACGGGACGTGTGGAGATAGAGAGATGCTTTTAAAGGCCTCGTGTGCTCGGGATAAAGACACCACGTGATTGGCACTCTGTGTCGGAAGAGGAGTAAGGATGGCCGGTTGCTTTCTGACAGGTTTGTTCTTAAGCTAGAGAGATCTGTTGTCTTAGCCTGGAGATTGATTGTAACCAAGTTCAGAATGGGGTAGCCGTGATGGTATTTAGATTTGAAGTATGGCGTGTAGCTCAGCTGGAAGTGGCGGCCGTGCGTTAAAGTGATGTAGTGTGATGGCCATGGCTGTTATAGCCGCTCGCGGAGAGGGTTAACAGAAGGGGGAAATGTCCTCGACAGTGCGGGCGGACGCTCCCGGCTGGCATCTAATCTGTCAATGTGATGTTCATGTTCATGTTTATCTGAATATGATGTTCTTCTTATCATCCCATGGTCATTTTGGTGTCCCGTGCGGTTTTGATTATTTCATGTTTCAATTTGTGTTGAGTGTTATACTCCGTAAATGAGTCAAGACAGTGTGATCAATGCCATTGAATGCCTTAAAAAATGGCATTTTTTGGATAGATAGCATGGATAGATTTTTGTGTAATGAAGCGATAGTTAATGAATGAAATAATCAATGCTAAACATGGTGTATTTCTTCTTATTACAGGTTCCTCTCAGTCAAATGTGTCCACCTGCACGGAGACAGATTCTGAGGCAGAGGATTCGTCAAAACAACTGGGTACGTAGGACACAGTTTTTCTATCTTAACGTACTTACTATCGTTTTGCGCTGTATCCAGTTTTATGGTGCTGCGAAGGAAGGAAGTGTGCGGCACATAATTCTGGATGATAAAGTCACCCCGGGGATGGAATAGGAGCTGTAGCAAGCAACTTGAAATCCTTGTGGAAAGGTTGAAATTTATCGCTGGCAAATTTATTGCTGCTACACAGGGAATTGCATGAAAGGCGAATCTATCTAGAAACCATTTTTTATGCTGAAAATTTGTTATTTTTATGTTATTTGCAGCAAATTTTGAGAGCCTTTTGTTGATGATATTGAAGCAAATTTTAGCATCTTTCATCATTGATATTAACCAAAAATCAAGAATAGATGAAAATATTGCACTTGGTTTTCTTTTGTACATTATGGATGCATGTTTGGTCCCTGAAAGGAAATCCTTTACGTTATCCCTGCCAATTTTTGAAAACAAGTATGCTGGCTATTGATTGGTCCATGACCTTGTGTTAATCATCCTGCAAACACTGGTGTTGCAAACATTGACTTTGAGGGACAGTGTGACCTTGGTTGGCGAGAGTATGGTGGACGTGGTTGATATGAGATCACTGACCCGAGTTAAGGGTGATTTTTCCGTGGAAATAGATCTTCATCAAGGCCATTGATCTCCTCGTTTTCTGCCTGAGGAACTGGACCATTAAGGTCGGGCCTTCAAGAACATTCCGTCTTCCGCAGCGTCCTCTCGCAAGGGTCGTAATCGCGAAGACATCGCCGACATTTAACTGATTTAAGACGAGAAGCAATTTGGGAGGTTGTAACAGCCGGATTTGTTGTGGTGCCCCTGGTCGGTCCGTGATGAAATTTTTATGAACTGGTTGACCACGTTGTACTGGGGCAAATCCCCGGGATTGTAACAGGAAAATTGGTTTCTGTCTGCTGACACCCCTATTGGATTGGAGTCCTGTATTGGGTGTTGTACTAACGCCGGATTCATTGTGACTGAGTCGGTTTTGATTAGCTATTCTGTCTGATTAATGTACACTGGAAGCTTGTCTGATGCAGCTTTGCTGCCTTTACTAGATGGGTGTAAAGCTATTGTGACATTACACCAACGGCGTGCCCATAAAAGGCACTTTGCCGAAGCGTACGTGATATCTATATTTCTGTTACAAATATCCTGCGGAGGCAGAACCATCCCACAGGTTTGAAAATCGTGCCGGCGCATCCCGTCACAGAAAGGGTAATTTGCCCCCAGGCAGCTTGAACATGGCTCGTTACAAACCCATTGTTATTCCCCGACACAAAATTACAGTATTAGTCTCTTGATTTGATGTTGATCTGAAGCGACTTTTGATCAGGAGTGGATGCTGTCAGCCGTGGCGCGTAAGTTGTACCACACCCATTCTCTCAGCACCAGTAATGTTCTCTTGTCAAACTGTGTTATGGTTCAGTTGTATCTGCATTTTCAGAGACATTGTTCAGTCACTCTTTGCCGCAACATTGTTATGCCCTGTTGGGAAATATATTGTGTGCCGATAACGATTTGTTAACAAGTCTTATGACAAGTTTCAGTTTGGCTCAGCACAAATTTGTAATTACAGCGTGCTGTTGCCTCAGGCAATATGCACAGCTTGCTGATGATATACTGTCTGTGTTTGAAAAATACTGGTAAATGTAAATAGAGTACATGTTTCATTTATGAACACACACATACACACACACACAAAGATAAACACACACACAAACACGCATATAAACTTATGTTATGCATGATGATATGTGGAAGCCATTTTGACACAGTCTGTTTTTAATTGTCCCCACAAAAGACTGTATCCATAGAAAAATTAGTTTGTTATTGTCTGACACTGACCTCTTCTGTTATGATCTCAAGGAAAATGGCCAGCAGGACGATTTGAGTATCTCATGAATAAATAAAGGCTAAAGAGACAAAAAATGGAATTTACACCGTCTTAGTTTGGTTCATTTATACTAGAATAATCGGATACTTACTAATCATGTTTTGAAACATTTAAAAGGGAGTTACTTTTTTACCTCATATGCCATTTGTTGCTAGTCCTGAAGAATGTTTAATGGCAAATTTTTATGTGAGGTGAATCAACTCCTGTACACCCACAGGACCAGTGTAATAGCCCACTATCTCATGTTTTCATTGTATAAAAGTAATCAGCAAAAAGGTGCTGCTTTTTTCTATTAAAACCTTATCAGGCCTGTGCATGCACAAATGGCTTGCAGTGTCTATGGAAAAGTGATTATGATAATCGCACTATCAAACTAACACTTTCATTTTCCTGCCATGAAATTACTTGGACATGGAAGGTTGGTAACGTACGCCCCAAATGCAGTAAAAAGACAAAAAAGGGTATGCAAATTCCGAGTGTGCGGCAGGTTTAGGAGAGATAGTGTATCAGGAAGGCCGGTGTAATCCCTATCAAAGTGCAGAGGGCTGTTGGCACGCCTGATAAATAATGATGGTAACCTAGAGCCATCAGCTGCTGGCCTGTAGGCTGTGATATGAATAGATCCTGATGATAAGAAGGCTTCTATGAATATCCAGGGTGTCTGTGTGATCGTCAAAGCCTATTGTGCATGCTTCGTATCTCCCGTCCACCCTGTCACTTGGCTTTAGCACTATAATGAAACAGGCTGCAATATATGTGCACCGTGTGAAAGGTAGGGCCCCAGACTCTTAATGCTAGCATTCCACTACATGTTGTTGGTATGAATATTTATGGAGTGCAACAGAATACTAGAGTGGTGATCAACTTGTGTTAGTACCAATGGAAGGTGTGATTTGGAATAATTTTATCTGAAAGCTTGTAAAGCTCAGTGTATGTCCATGAGCGAAGTCGTAATGTTGTGAAATATAGCTTCAATGTTCTGCAAATAGTCAAAGCTTGCACAGTGTGAACAGGTGAACAAAACACAGGACATGGTCATTAGATTAGATGACTAGGAGATCTATTCGACCCTCTGAAATGCTATTTCCTGCATTTTTAGGGGCAAATTTTGCTGGTAGACTAAGCCCAGTTTAATGACCTCACTTTCCATATCTTTACGCACCAATTTTCGTTTGTCAAAGATGATTGATTGGGCAAAATTATGAGCAGTAACACCATGAGCAGTAAAATTCCATCAAATGACGGAAAGACGAATGCTGCTAAAGATGTGTGTTCCAAGAAATTTTATCAGGAACCTAATTATAAGGAGCTGTTCATAAAGCCAGGATATGTATGTATGTATGTACATATATGTAGTATACACAATGTATGCAATACTAAAAAATGAACACAAGGAGGCGCTGCTGACCATTTTAACCTTAAGCGTGCAAAGCTACATTTGGTCGACAATCCCCTTCTACACATTAGCTTGTCAATCAGCTCATTTGTGAGACCTTAAGTGACTGAAGGGGTGGATTTAAATTAGATCTTATATTACCCATGGGGAAAATCAGCACTTTGACGGATAGCTGGGCAGTGTGATCTGTGAGTCATTATCTGCTCTGACAGTGTGTACCGGTATGGTAAACATGGTGACCCCAGGGTTAAAATGGTATCACACAAGTTGTACTGGTAATTTCGTACTTGGCAACTTTGTGAAAAGTTATTCATACCTGCTAAGACGTAAAACCCGATAAGAATAATGAATTCAAAGTACAATGATTGAATAGATATACTGTAATGAGTTGCATTAACAAGTAATCTGGAAAAGTCTTGAATACTGTTTTCAGGTATATCACTACTGTAGTGTAGTCCTCCTCCCTACCATTTCCCTCATACCAGACTCTACCTGCATTGTGCTGTATTGATTTTGTCTGGGAGTTGGCTGCTTAATGGGCACTGCCACACATCAGGGTCTCCTCAACACCCATAAATCAATGAGGAGTTTTTGCCACTTGATGTGGTGTAGTGGCAGAGCCATGATTACTTACCAGGGAGGTGCCTTTTGTGAAAAAATGGCATCCTGCAGACCAACCTAGATGGGTTATAGATTTTGCAAACTTAAAACATGAAAATGACAGCTTATCCATATAGTACCCATGCTCAATCCGTATGTTTTCTGTCAGAAAATAGTTCTGGTGTCAGGCACTTGGATATTTACATAGAGAGTATATTATTATGAGAGATGCTGACTGTTTTATCATAATTCCCTGTAGGTCGTGGCGGAAGATACCAACCTGTGATGTCGGGGGGGTCCAAGGGGCCCAAGCACACCGCCATGGGGAGCCACCCCTCCCAGAGCGATGAGCTGACCCTGCTCAGCCTGCAGCTTCAGAAGATGCAGAGTGAGCGGGACAACCTCCGCAGGAAGATCAAAGTCTACGAGAGCGGCTCCAAACCGCTGAGCAGTCATGACTACGAGCGGATCAATGCGCAGTGCTCTGAGGCCATGGCCGAGCTGGATTCCCTGAAACGACAGCATGTGAACACGGTGGAGAGGTGTGACCAGGCCATCAAGGAGGCAGACTATCACAGGAACCTGGAGAACAAGCTCATGCACGAACAGACCGAGCTAAGACACGAGATGGAGGTTCTCAAACAGCACGAGATGGAAGCCGTCTCTGACAGGAACCGCTACCTTCAGGAACTGAACGAGCTGAAGCGAATCCGAGAGGAAGAACAACAGGAGATGGAGGACTTGCGCAATCAGCAGAGGCAGGTCATACGGGAAAGTGGGTCATCAGAAATCCTGAACCAAATGTACGACACCGCCGTGAACAAACTGGACGATTTAAGGAAGGACTACGACACATTGAGGAGACGCTATGCAGACCTGATGGCTAAGTACAGCACCTCCATCAGTCGTCTTGAAAAGGCCGAGGAGGACAATCGCAGGCTAAAGGCAGAGAAAGAAGCATTCCAGGACGAGAGGAACGCGGCCATTAACGAGAGAAACTGCCTCAAACAGCAATGTACGGCGGCCATCCGCGGCTACGACAAGGCTCTACGGGAACGAGACCAGGCTCTGGAGGCAAACAAGCAGCTTCAGCAGCAGCTGGACGAGGCTAAGAACGAGGTGAGTCAGGCCATGACCATGAGGCTGAACGTGACGAAAGACCTGGCCAGGGTGACCGAGGAGCGAAACGCAGCCGTGCAGGAATACCAGCTGGTGATGAGTGAGAGAGACACGGTGCACAGGGAGATAGAGCAGCTCCAGGAGAAGCTGAACCACAAAGACAAGATGTTGAAGGAAACAAGCCAGAACAAGAGAGCCACCCTTGACGAGATCGAGAGCTTGAGACGGGATGTGGATAACGCACATCACGAGCGAGACCAAGCGGTGAGGGAGAGAAGCGATCTACTCGATCGCTGTTACAGCGAAGCCTTCAACAAAGAGAAAACCCAGAAGGAGCTAGACGAGGCCAGGAACCGTTTTGAGATGATGAAACAGGAGAGGGACATCGCCCGCCAGGAGCGATCAGAAGCCCTCGACCACAGGGACCAGATTCTGTTGGAGTTCCACGAGGCTCAGCAGAAAAAGGAAGCCGTCTCCACCGAGTGTGATCAAGTCAGCAAGGAGTTAGAACTGATGAAGAAGAGGGTCGAAGCACTCGAAAGCGACCTTCGAGAATCTCTAAGTGAGGCCGAAATCGCCAAGCGGAGAAGAGACTGGGCCTTCCAGGAAAGAGACAAGATTGTTTCGGAGAGGGAGAGCATTCGGACTCTGTGTGACAAACTAAGACGGGAGAGAGACCGGGCTGTCAGTGACCTTGCAGAGGCCATGAGGGACTCGGACGAATACAAAAAACAACGCAATGATACCGTTCGAGAGGTCAAGGAACTGAGGTATTGTCTCACCTGTCAACTCCTCTCTAAGGAGATATAATATCTGTGATTCTTTGCAATTGCCAACATTACATGTAATAAGAGAGCTTTCTTGTTGTCCAGTCACAACACTCAAAAAAAAATCATAGAAGCAGAAACTAATTTAGAAGGACATGGATTTCTCTCAGAGATATTTTCATGCTGGAAAAGATTTAACAATCTCATGATAAAGTAGCTTTTTGGTATCAAATTTGTATTGGTTCTAAGGTTAGGCAGTAGGGAGAAGGTTAAGTAAATCCGTGCATTGATTTCTCTGTTTGTGCTACCCCTCCCAGGGAGCGGCTGGAGAGTATGCTGGAGAAGGAGGCTCGCATGAAGCAGCTGATGGCTCATCACAGCAGGGACTCCGCTATCGACGCAGACAGCCAGGAGTGGGAGATGGAGACTGTGGAGTTCAAGAGAGACAGGGTAGGTTTAGAATTCTACTGATCCAATTAACACCAGGGGTTAAGTCATGTGCCTAGAGTTTTCAATAAGTAACCTCAAAGGTATAATTTTGTAAAATTCTTTTGAGTAGCATCTCAGTGAACTTCTGGCATTTTGATGATGGATAGGTAGGGTGTTGTAAATGTGTTTGAAAAAAAAAGAATTCTGTCCATATTTGGTCTTGTTACTGGATACATTTTTGGTACTGCACCCCTCTTGCTGTTAGCATGCTACCACACTGGTCAAAGTGCACCCATGTTTACAAAGCAGGCTGTAGGTTTGTAGTAGCTTTTTTAATAGAATTTATTGAGAACTGGATGAAAGGTGCAATTTTGTAACTAGAAACAGAGTATTTATTATGTATAGCTTTTAAAACAGAGGAGTAACTCTAATTGAGTTGTTCACTATTCACACTGCGCAGTCATTGGTACATCCTTTATGAGTTATGGGGCAGTGCCGGAGTCGCGCGGCGAGGCCGAGTCCCACTATATGAATTATAGGATAACGGGGTGGGTGGGGGGGCAGCGAAAAACTTTCCCAAACAAGAAGGGCTAAACCCTTCCCCACCCACTCCCTGGGACTGACCTAACACCACGCTCCTTCGGCGTTGCGGATGCTTCCAATGATCGCAATGGTGATTAGCCTGGCTGGCATTCATATTTAAAGGGGTAATGACGTCATGCAGGATTTAACCAATCACAGCGCAGTGTAAATAGTTCACTATTCACACTGCGCAGTCATTGGTACATCCTTTATGAGTTATGGGGCAGTGCCTGCGTCGCGACGTCCCAGCCTGGTTACCCTTACTATAAGTCTTAATATAGTACTAGTAACTTTCCCTTCTCTTCACTTCTCTTCTTATAACCATCCCCATACTCATCCCCATACTCATCCCATTCTCATCCATTTCTCATCCCAATCTTATCTATACCTCCCAAAGCCTAAACTTACATCTCTTCTTCTTGGAAGAGCACACCCAACTGAGCTGGCTTTATCTAATAATTTATCTTTACAGCCACCCCTACACGATTTTTTTTATGCAAACAAATTGCATTTACAACACAAGTTACAGTGTACAACTGTAAAGTGTCTTTCATTTAAACTCGTGTTGGCCTAATCCTCCGGAATCCTATTTTGTAACATGAAACCGGTTTTAGACCCCGGAGCTCGTTATTTTCCCCATCCACTGCTACCCACACTCTCCTGACTAATGTGAATCGAGCTTCTGGCTTAGGGTGGGTTTACGCTTATCTTTCTCTGAATAAATCCCTAGTAGAGCAAAATTCAAAAATCACCGGAGGTCCACTAGCCAGTTGGATTAGTCCAACTCTCATCTCATCTCTTTCTCATTAACCTCTCAATTGTCAACGAGGTAAAATCTCATCGCCTCGAATTCCTGTACAGAGGCAAACGCAACCTTCCGATGAGTAGATCTGTTTCATTAAACGGGTGTTCATCGACAATCATAAAGTGCGAAACACAACAGGTAGCCTAACCATCACTGAGTGCCCAAACTTAGAAAGAGACCAAAAGGGCACCCATACGACAACTCGACACTCACTACCTGTGACGCAACACATGTATCAACACCCGTCATGTGTGCATCCGTCTATCTGCGACCGAGCACCCACGTGTGGAACGTCCCAAGGAGACAGTCACGCGCGACAACTTAGACAATCACTTAACCGTGATGCCACGAGTGCCTGCACGTGGAATGTGCTAAGAAACACAATAAAACCACCTACGATCACTTTACATGCGCTGCATAAGACATCAGCGCCCGCCCTCTTTGGATCCGTCCGACTGTCTGCCACTGAGTTTCTGCACATTCATGTATTAAAGAGACACTCACATGACAAAATACCGACGATCACTTAACATGGGACGCAACAAAAACATCAGCGCTCGTCTGTACGTGGAAAGTACCACCAAGACACTCACATGACAATACCGACGATCACCTTACATGCGACGCAAGAAAACATGTGAGCTCGCCATGTCTAGATCCGCCCGACTGTCTGCCACTGAGTGTCTGGACACTTAATGTATCAGAGAAACACTCACATGACAATACCGACGATCAATTTGCATGCGACGCAAGAAAACATAAGAGCTCGCCATGTCTAGATCCGTCCGACTGTCTGCCACTGGGTACCTACACGTAGACTGCGCATACTAGACACTCACATGACAACATCGACGATTACGAACTTTACATGCGACGGAACAACACATCAGTGCTCGCCATGTTTGGATCCGTCCGACTACATGTCACTGAGTGTCTGCACATGCAACTTGCATAAGAGACACTCACATGACAACATCGACGATCAATTTACTAGCGACGCAACAACACATCAGCGCTTGCCATGTTAAAATCCGTCCGACTGCTTGTCACTGAGTGTCTGCACATGCAACTTGCATAAGAGACACTCACATGACAACATCGACGATCAATTTACACGCGACGCAACAACATATTAGCGCTCGCCATGTTGAGATCCGTCCGACTGCTTGCCACTGAGTGTCTGCACATGCAACTTGCATAAGAGACACTCACATGACAACATCGACGATCAAATTAGATCCGTCCGACTGCTTGCCATTGAGTGCCTGCACGTGGAATGTGCATAAGAGACACTCACATGGCAACATCGACGATCAATTTACACGCGACGCAGCAACATATTAGCGCTCGCCATGTTTAGATCCGTCCGACTGCTTACCACTGAGTGCCTGCACGTGGAATGTGCATAAGAGACACTCACATGACAACATCGACGATCAATTTACATGCGACGCAACAACATATTAGCGCTCGCCATGTTTGGATCCGTCCGACTGCTTGTCACTGAGTGTCTGCACGTGCAACTTGCATAAGAGACACTCACATGACAACATCGACGATCAATTTACATGCGACGCAACAACATATTAGCGCTCGCCATGTTTGGATCCGTCCGACTGCTTGCCACTGAGTGTCTGCACGTGGAATGTGCATAAGAGACACTCACATGACAACATCGACGATCAAATTGGATCCGTCCGACTGCTTGCCACTGAGTGTCTGCACGTGGAATGTGCATAAGAGACACTCACATGGCAACATCGACGATCAATTTAGATCCGTCCGACTGCTTGCCATTGAGTGCCTGCACGTGGAATGTGCATAAGAGACACTCACATGACAACATCGACGATCAATTTACATGCGACGCATCAAAAACAAAGATGTGTTTCCACCTACCCTGGAAATGTTGCGCCGTAAACACTGCTGGTGTTGGTCCTGCTGGAGTAGGACCTGCTGGAGTGAGAGGTTTCCCTGGTGTTGGTCCTTGCTAAAGAGTCAACTGTCGCCATTGTCCTGGGTGCTGCACTGCTGGCGCGGGTAGTCTTGGAGTCTACGACATCGCCCGAGAAACGTTGCGCTGTATAAAACCCCGCTGGTGTTGGTCCTGCTGGAGTAGGGCCTACTGGAGTGACTGGTCTCCCTGGTGTTGGTCCTTGCTGAAGATGGCTCGGGTAGTCTTGTAGTCTGCGACATCACCTTTAAAACACAAACACATACACGTCACGCAGAGATACCAACTATATTTTAACTACCCACTCGAATGTGCCAACACCATGAGGGCATCACCACTCCATGATCTAAGGGTACAAAGTACCGGAGGCTTTAGCACTCGAGTTTCCAACCCTCCTGACAAACAAAGAAACGCTTATCTGCCAAAGTCACCACCCGGAACCAATTTATTTCAAATGCAAATGTACCACGTGCAACACGCTCCCGCCAAAATGACAAAACGAGTTACCAAAACTCTGGAAAACTGAAAATCAACCAACGGAAACGACACCAAAACCGTTCCGCAACCCAATGAAGTGGCCAAGAAACCCCCAGACTGTTGGACTCGTTAGGGATGTCACCGTAGCCCGGGCCGAAGATCACGGCTGCAAAATGTGGTAGGTACCCGTTGCTGTACCGGGTACTGAGGTTGTGGGATCTGCTGCTGCCTTCCCACATCTTGACCGCTTGGGAAACGAGGTTGTTGTGCTGCTATAACTGCAAGGGCAAACGACATTGCTTATTAACCTGCAATTTCTTAACCCCGTGAAAACCTTTCACACTACTACCACACTACCCGCCCGAGCGCGCCTCCACCGCGAGGGCAACCCGCAACACGATCTTAATGGGCACGAAGCCGAAGGAACACCGCTCGGGAAACCTCCCCTGCTAATTTTACAAAATGGCTAAAACCACCCTCGAAAACTCAGAAAAGAAACCCTGAAAAGAGCAAACTACTAATAATCAATTCTGGCTCAAACAGACACCCACGCATTCAAATGCAAATGACCCAGGTGCGAGACTGCCGCCAACATTCTTACAGACAACCCACACAAAAACTGTCGGAAAAGAAAAGCAAACCACGTCCTGTACTTCACACTACCCAAACCTTCTCTTTCAGGAACTCAGGAACAGGCCTCTGCTTCTCTAACGTCAGCGACCAAAACCAGTCCGCCTGTACCGGGTAGGAGGTGTTTTCAAGGTGCGTCCGCTGGTCCTGCTGAAGTTACAGCTAGCTGTCGCCATTGTCCTGGATTCTACACAGCTGGTGCGGGAAGTCTACGAATCTGCGACGTTATCTTAAAAACAGAAACACGTACACGTCAAACAGACACCACATATCTCTTTTTCTACCCACTTAAAAGTTCAAGAGTGCAGCAAAGAAAAACAACATTCATCTGCCAAGCTCACTTCCCAAAACCAGTTAGTAACAAATGCAATACCACGTGCAACGCATTCCCTCCAAAAACAAAATGTTACCAACTCGGGAAAACAAACAAAAACCCGTGGACACAAAACGACAGCAAAAACCGTTCTGCACTCCTCCAAACCGAAGGAGTCGTCGTGGAAGCCTCCAAACTGCTGGACTCGCCAGGAAGACACCGACACCCAAACCGAAGACCGGTGCTGTAGAACGTGGGAGGGCTGGGAGGGCACGCCCGGCACTAGCACGTCGCTCCAAGCTGGCGTAGCGGAGGCTTCCAATGATCGCAATGGTGATTAGCCTGGCTGGCATTCATATTTAAAGGGGTAATGACGTCATGCAGGATTTAACCAATCACAGCGCAGTGTAAATAGCATTTTCCTCATCCCTCATTTTGCCTGTCACAAGGCTGTTGACCTGATCGGAGCCATTTGTCTCTCAAAAGAGCCATGTGTCACTCACTGTTGTGTGTGTGTGTGTGTTTGTATGTTGCAGAGTGACATGGACATGTCGGAGCTGGGGTTTGACATTGGAGTTGGCAGTGAAGACGTCCACAGTCCCAACGACTCTCCCATCATCGTCACCAAGGTCAACAAGGGCAGCGTGGTGGACGGTAGACTCAGGTACACAACCTGCTGAACATTACAGACTAGAAAGTGTGCTGTATGAAATAGGCATCAAACAATGGTCCGGCTTTAAAGGGGTTAAATAAGGGATTAAAGTCATCTTTATTTATCAAGAACAACAACAAGATAAATTACATACATGACACTTTTAAAACCCAGGCCTTCGTCTGAAATTATATTCAGGAGGGCACAAGGTAAAAGTACAATATGCAACAGACAATTTCAAAATGATTTTCCCTAAAATTAACTAGTGCTTACATACATGCATATTTATAGAAACTGTTCTTGTTATAATGCAGAGGTGTTCTCATCTTGAAAATGTCAACAGTGAAGATGATGTAAAAGAAAATGGACTGTTGAACTTCATAAAAGCCAATATCTTTGGATTGCATACAAATCATGATATTCAAGCAATAGCTTTTTTTGCAAACAGTGAGACCAGTCTAGGAACTCAAGTGATCTCAATGATGCCCCTTTTTTTCTCCAGAGAAAATGACCGCTTGTTGCAAGTAAACGACGTGCCACTGACCAATGCAGACCGCAGTACGGCCCTGCAGGCTGTCCGCAACTGTGGCAGGGTCATCAATATGGTGGGTGGAACTGAGACTTTGGAACTTGATAACATTTTTTTCTGTTTATATAGCCAGAAATGGGCTCTGCTGGAAAGCATTATTATGTCATGTATCAGACTTAAGTTTTTGTTTCTGGTTGTTGAAGTCCCTGTGTTGTGTTGACATGTGTATGTTATTGCTGCCACAGGTTGTTAAGAGAAGACGTCTGTCCAGTGGAAAATTGTTGCAGCCAGTTCACCTCAACCTCACAGGTGGAAAAGGTAATGGGCACTGTTTTCCCTGCTGGAGCTCTCCAGAAGAACTGAAGTTTGCCATATAAGCAGTATGATTTTCTGTATCTTTGGTGACCAAAATTCCCAGGTCTACTACAAAATTGTAGCTGCTCAGATACTAGTACCATGAAATGGGTATACAATGTAGGAGCAACACATGTGGTATCAAAATTCAAAAGGTCTCCCTTGAGAAATCTACCTTGCTATGCTGTGGTACATTGTAGCCAATAAATGTATTAAGTATTTTGACAGGTATTTCATGAGTGTTATTTCTATTGCAGACATTGGCATGAGTTTTGATTCAGGGATCTTCATCAGTAACATTGTTCCTGGTGGAGTGGCGGCGAAGGAGGGCCTGTCTGTGGGAGACAGGATCATCAATGTGAGTTTGTTTGTATGTCTCTTTATTTAAGCCATTGCTTAGCACAGTTTCTGTCTAGGGAAGGCTACATACATGTACCATTTTATGGACCCCTTTACATGTTGAGAAAGTCTCATCTGGGTAACGGAGGGAACAAACAAAATCATTGCCCTGACCACATAAACTGGACTAGGCTTAGTTTCCAGATGCAATCTTGTTATCAAATCTTGTTATAGAGTAAGTAAAATGACAAGTCACAAAAACATTTTGATATTGTTCAAGTACAAGCCGGGATTGTAATAACTGTGATTATAACCTGCTCTTCCCAGATCAATGGTGCTTCAGTGGAGAACAAGTCTGTTACGGAGGTGAGTCGTCTGATCCAGGACAGCGGGGACAACATTGTTCTACATGTCATGAAGAGCAGCATCTCCCAGGCCCCGTCCTTACTCAACAGCAGCTGCACCTCCAGCGGCCACACCATCTCCGACAGCGAGAGGCGGGAATCCCCGCGGCCCGCCTTTGAGGCCATACCCTCTGCCGAGGAGCTCAGCCCCGTGAAGAGTTCGGAGGCCAGCCCGCGACCTTCCCTTGTGGCGGGCGTGAATGAGATCGACCGTAATTCGGACGTTGTGCGGGAGAGGGACGTGGTGAAGCAGGAGGTGTATCACTCCAGACAGGACTCATTCCGAGGACAAACCGACCAATACCGTCACGCCAAACAGGACTCGTTCCACTCTCTACACGAAAAACAGGAGTCGTACCACTCCATGCACGAGAAACAGGATTCCTACCACTCCATGCACGACCTTTACCCGCCCCCGCCCATGGTGCACGACACGTCCCCAGACCCTCATCACCTCCCCCCACCCGACAACCACCACCCTGCCTCCCTTGACTCCCAGCATGCTCTGCACGAGCAGCCTCCGCCCCGACCGGAACCACCCCGTGTTTCTCATCCCGACCCCCTCCACCCCAGCCTCCTGGACTGCCATCATGCTTCTATCCAGGAGCCACAGTGTGCGGATTATGACACTCCACCACCATGCCCCCCTCCCCCTCCCGAGTCTGCATTCGAAAAACCATTCCAGCCTACTCACGCACATGCTGCCACCACCAACATTCTTCCAAGTAATGTCCCAAGGGAAAAGGTCTCCAAAGTTAGCAGTGGCACCTGGCCCAAGATCCGGGAGGCCACAGACTTTGCTGAGAAACAATACGTCAACATTTACATGAGTGATAGAAGGAAACAGCCTCCCAAAAGGCCAGGTATTATTGGTCACTTTTCTCCGCAGGAGTATAAGCGTGGTGGTCCGCCTACGCCGCCATCAAGAAACTCTTCCGGTTCCTTTATGGCGAAATATATGCACGCTCACCAGTCGTCTGACTCCTCAAACGCAACGTTGACACCTCCCACCAGCCCAAACACGTCTTCAGCCACCATCTCTCCCCGTCAGACTCCTCCCCAGTCTACGGTGAAGAAAGTGCTTCCGGAAGCGGTCCCCTCAGTACCAAGTAGAGACCACGTGCCAACCAGCCACTATGCCACCGCATCCTTCGATGGAAGTGTGGATTATTCAATTGTTTCTGTAAGAGATGATTCTGTAGAGTCATTGTCGTCGAGACAACGTCAGAGGCCAAAGTCTGCTCCCTCTCAGCGACAAGAGCTGACATACTATGTTGATCCTGCTGGACAGACCTTCAAAAGGACTGTCGACGTGTCCCCTCAGGGGCATCCTCGTAACCTGGACGCAATGCTCTCTCCACGAGTTTCCCCGTCAACAAAGACAATCAACCCCAGGGTGCCAACGGACATCACCAGATACTTGAACCCAGGCTCACAACAGATGCCTGCTTCTGCTGCCTCCACGGCTGTGGTACGGATCAGACCGACTGTTCCCGTGTACATCGCCAGCAGTCGCCCGTCCACGGCCAGTCAGCCGAGGCACCCTCCCCCTGAGTACCAGAAACAGTACAGTTATCCCATGGACGAGCGGCGCTCCTCCCACAGTCCTGTCTCACGCAGGGACTTCCACCCGACCCACGAGCCTTCTCCCAGCTACGACGTCGCCATCACTCACAGCAGAATCCACGGCAGACTTCCCCCGGAGAGGCACAGCTTCGAATCCTTCCACGACCCCTCGGCCGGCATCTACACATCTCCACCCGATCACCATTCTATGGGAAGCCGGGAATTTGCAGGCAGTAACTCCAGTACCAACACCTTTCCTGCCACCAAGCCCAGTAGGATCAGCTTCCCCTCCAACTCCAGAACCATCAGTAACACGAGATACAGGGTGTCCAAGACTTCCTTAGAAACTGGTATGTTATTCCTGAAATGACTTTTCCCATTACCCTGACTCTTCAGGTGCTTTTGATTTCTGTTACTGCTTTCTAAACTAAGTCAAGCATGTAATATGTCATACATGATACCGGTAACTTTCGATATTGGTGTTCTGGACCATGTTGGAGTAATAGAATGTCACTCCTCTTTTCAGGCACGTCGTCTGGCCGGAGCAGTCCCATCATGACCCCTCCAGCCACTCCCACAATTCCCGGGGAGCCCACCCGCGGTTCCCTCAGCTCTATCAAGGGTTCCAGCCAGAGTATCACACAGACACGCAGGAACAGGTACGAAACACACTCACTCCAGCCAGAGTATCACACAAACACGCAGGAACAGATATGAAACACGTTCGCTAGGAAAGGAAAGATACACAGTAGTTGGCAAAAGTCAATGCGAAAACCCTCTGGTTATGGAATAAAGAACCTTCACATACATGATTCATGTATGCTAATTAAAGCCAGGAATTAAAATATTACAGTCATATCTCAGTACGTGCCGTGTTTGTTTCCCAAGGTCGGAGGAGCCGAGGTATGTCACCATCGAGAAGGGGTCCGAGCAGCTCGGAATCTCCATCAAGAGTGGGCCGTACGGAGGCATCTTTGTGTCAAAGGTCATGGAGGGGAGCATCGCCCAGCAGGCTGGGCTAGAGTATGGAGACAGGATGCTGGAGGTAGGAGTTCTGGGATGTAGAGTGGTCTTTTTAGACAGGTGGCCTTCTTGGGCCTTTGGGGAAAAAGTGGATGTTATGGCCAGGTGGCCAGTAAGAAGAGGTCGCTGCTTGGGCACGTTTAGCTACATCTAGTATTCAGCTTAAATAGGTACAAATCTAATTAAGCACATACTTTTGAATAGCTGACATCTAATAGTAAGTGCTTTACCGATACTTCCACTTTTCAGTATTTCTATTTCTATGTTAGTATCTACATGTAGTTGCAGTTAGTGGAAACATCAGATTCTGGTGATAAAGCGAAAGATATGCATAAACACAGAGAAAATATTTTTGTTCATGTGGCAATATTTTCACTTCCACAGTACAATGGAATCAACTTACGTAATGCTACTGAGGAGCAGGCTGCCCTGGTCCTGAGTCAGTCAGAGCCTGGGGACAAGATCACCATGCTGGTGCAGTATGATCCTAAAAGTGAGTGTTGATTGCCTTCATCTTAATGTGTGCACTCTTTTTGTTTTTTTGTGAGCATTAACAAAGATTTTAATTGTACACTTTCCAGCAAAGTTGCCTTATGCCAAATGAAATGTTATGATGAATATCATTGCATTTTGCTGTTGCTTGTATTTAAAAAAATCTTCCCCCTTTTCCAGAATATGAAGGAAAAGTTTCATCCAGCACAACCAGGTAAGGCTTTCTTCAATGTTTGATTGTTTTTGGAATAATGAGAAAGCAAGGATGTATTTGGACACTTTGGTAAATAACTGGTTACTTATACATGTATCATCTTAAAATGAACAGCTTGAGATGAAACAACAGGGGATGGTATTCACAAATCCTTTCTGATGCAGATAGTTTCTGTATCACACTTTTTAAAAAATCTCTAGAGGGTGAGCAATAAACCTAATTAATGTATGAAACATTTTTCAAGTTCAATCCCTTAAAATGTTGCCCCTATTTCTGTCCCATAGCCTCCCCTCAGCCAGTGGGCGGTCCACTCCTATCGGCACTCCTGCCAGCACCCGCACCAACTCCCCCATCCCCAGCCGGTCACTACAGGAGTTCCCACAGGTGGACATGCCTGGTAGGATGACCACCCCCAGGGCCAGGAGTCTCAGGTACACTTCATCATTACTTTTTGCTATGGAAGTATTGTTATGGTGGTGATGGTTTCGGTTTGGGGGTTTGTGTTCAGTTGGTTAGACCCGAAGGGCAGAAATCTATCTTTGGCAACAGTGATCAGTTAAAGAATGGTACATGTATGCATACTGGTAAAATGGGTCAATCGACAAGAAAGTTTTTCAGCAGACACTCAGGTGATAGACTAAACTTAGAGATGACTTGTACTTTTGTTTCTTTTCTTCATGTATATGATTTGAGCAGTCTCCTCTGTCTTTCTTTCCTTTCTAACTGTATCCCCTGTCCTGTGTTTCTGTTGTTTTTGTGTGGTCTCTGTTCCTTTCTGTAGCCCTCCTTCCTACAGTGTTGCGCTAGAAAGGCCATACAGCTATCCCATCAAGGAAAGGGCCTTCGCTTTCCTCAAACGAACATCGCCTGTTCAAGGAACTGGCCTCTACATCAGGCAGTTGTAAATGTCTTCCTCTTTACTTTCCTTTGTTTTCTGTTGCTGTTTCTACAATGTTACTTGATTACAATGGTTCATTAATACTTGTTATATTCTTGTTGCTTGTGTTTGACTTATTCAAGTACAAGAGAAGCACAAAATGTGTATAGCAACTGTCATTTTGTGTTGCGTTGTGTCAGGAATGTCTCAGAAAGTTAACGTTGAAGTTATTCAACTGACCTTTCTGACACAGCAAAGCACAAAATGTGGTTAGAAAATTGTCATTTTGCGCTGTGTTGTGCTAGAAAGGTCACAGAAAGGTCACTCTTGCCCCCCTCCCCCTTCCAGCCCTGTCATCCCAGAAGAGACAATCACAACCCCGCCCAGCGAGCCCAGGTTCGTCTTCCTCAAGAAAACTTCCCCTGACCTCGGCATCAGTCTGGTGGGTGGAAACGCGGTGGGGATCTTTGTGTCAGAGGTCAAGCCCAACAGCCCTGCCAGTGGGCCGTCTGGGCTCTTCCCAGCTGACCAAGTCCTCGAGGTAGGCCAGATTTCTCTCTTGTCAAACACTGTCTTGGCTTGGCTTTGCTGACAAAGATTCAGTGAATGGCCTTTTCCACTTAAACACTGTAGAACTGTGCCTGATCTTCAGTAATTCTCCCCACAGTTTAATGGCGTCAACTTGCGCCAGGCGACTGCTGAGCAGGCCACCATGGAACTGATGAAGCCTGCAGAAAAGGTGACCATCCTGGCACAGTACAACCTTGCAAGTAAGTATTCTATGAAGTTTCTGCAGTCCTCTTGTATATACCATAGTAGAACAATGAGTACAGGTGTGAAAATCATAATTGCTGCATTAGCACTATTGTCACCTGTGCTATGTTGTGTAGAGGAAAGTTAAATCACAGGAAGAAAAACTTACAGTATGCAACAGAAGTGCCTACCAAGGTTCACGAATGATATGAATCTGATATGTTGATGTTTTATCATTGAGCCTTACCAATACTTTTATTTTCAGAATTCAAGAAGATAAAGGACTTGCCAGGAGACGCATTCTATATCAGGTACATGATGTTTAGTATCCTAACTGATTTTAAAACAAAGTAATTAGAAATATAGATCTATAATGATGGTATATGATATTTTAAGTTTTTTTTAGATTTTAGTATTCTTATATAATGTAGACCACATGTGTTTATCTTTGCATTTAGCCTTCAGGGTATGAGTATGCAATAAACATTATATTACTCTTATCTATAAATTTATGGCAATACTTCAGATAGTAAAGGATAAGTTCAAAGCCTGATCTTTTCATCTCTCCCTTCTCCAGAGTCTTGTTTGACCGTCTAGCTGAGAACGATGGAGAGCTCACCATGCGCAAGGATGACATTCTGTTTGTCGAGAACACCATGCCCCAGGGCATGATGGGACTATGGAAAGCATGGGCCATCGATGAAGAGGGTAACAAGATAGAATGTGGGCTGATCCCCAGCAAGAATGCGTAAGCAAATTTTATATCATCTCTATTGTTGCATACTTACATTTCACTCCCTATACCATCACAATGCATTAGCCTGGTATAGAAACAGTAAAAAGCTAAACTGTAGGATAATTGTACAATAGTATAGTCCCCATTGTTGTGTCCTTGGGAAAGGCACTTGACACCTAAATGTATTTCCTCACATGACTCAGGTGAAAATGAGTACCTACATTGTATCTTTGGTTAGGGATGTCCTCTCAGATGGAACATGCATAAAGCCAGAGGCCCAGTGTTAGAGAGCCACACGTTAAATATACCACCACATATACCAACACACATATCAAAAAGAGCGTGGTTCAAACCTTACAGTCTGGTCTTACGTGGCTTGTACCTGCTGTACAAAACTGTTGTGTTGTGCCTATAGTGAGTTTACCGGTTATGCAAAACAAAACAAGACTGTGGTTATTTTCCAGCCTGGAGCAGGAGCTTGCTCGCAAGAAGAGCATGTCAGAGATCGCTGGAGAAGAGGAACTGAAGAGTGCGTCTGCACGCCGCAACTCCGCCACGGCTCGCCGCAGTTTCTTCCGCCGGAAGAAGCACCAGAGGAACAACTCGAAGGATAGCAGGGAGCTGGGGTCGCTGTCGGACTCCGTCAGCAGCGAATCCATCCCAATCCAAGAAGGTCAGTGACCTCTTAAGTAGTAATGTGGATCCCAGTCTGGCAGCGATATCCAGGCTATGCTGGTAGTGCTTCATACAGTTTTACTTCAAAGGCTGTCTATGTACTTGTTTCCTACCCTACTTCCCTGTTCTTAAATGTTTACTTTCTTTTGTACGAAACCTGTAACGGTAACCACACCTGAATCCACTTTCCTCGTAACAGCTTTAACCCCCCCTGATCATGCTATATTCCTATTTTAACACCAGTATAATGGTATTAATCCACCTCTCTGTGTTTCTTAATGGTCTTTTTTGATTTGATCTTTCTGTTAGAATCAGATCTAGTCTTCCAGCTGTGTTACTAAGACTCTGCTGTAAAGGCACTTCAGGGCTCAGTGTACAGTCTACAAAATTTGCAGAAAAATTGAGATTGAAGAGAAAATGTAGACAACTTTTGATATCTCAGGCTAAAAGAAAACTCATCTGATGTACCCCTTAGTTTATTTATTCAACCATAGGGCACCGCAGTGGATCTGACAACCAGTTTTCTCCACCCATTTCAGTTTTCTGTTCCTATTAACATTTTCACCATTTCTCTGAAAAGAATACTTAAAAGGCTAAGTATATAGAGAAAAACTGATGGTATGTTGAGCCCTGCACTTATTCTTGTGTTTCTCACCTAAAGTTCACAGTCACACCTGTCCTGTATTCTGTCTGTCTCTGTTCCTAAGACTCACCTTCTCTTTCAGCCTACGGAAGTCCTTCTCATGAAAGCCTTCCTTGCAAATGGCTCAGGAGCATTCTGGGTAGTCGTGGGGACATTCCCTCGGCATCCCTGATGGTTACTGAAGACTCCTGTAAGTCTGCCTCTGCCTCCCCTCACATGGGATCAACAAGCTGGCAAAATCTTGATCTTGTAGGGCAGGAACAGAGTTCCAAAATCTGAATACACAATGCAGATGACTAGACAGAGTTCCAAAGTTTGAAATCATACAGATGACTATGTTTTAAATGAAATATGATAGACATCTATTTAGAAGTTGCTATTCTGTGATATATCGTAGTCATCTTTGACTGCAAAGGACTACCAAGAATTCTGTTATTAAAAAATAAGAGTCAGTGGCCATACATATGTAGTAAATGAATAAAGTAAGAAAAACTCATATTCATGATGGTGAGTCCTGCTTTCAACTTTCACCTTTGTATTATAAAAGAAATGCCATTGAACAAGACAAAGCTTTTTCCAGAAAAATAGACCTTTTGGTTGATGTTAGCGACAGTTTCGGAGTACACTTTGTGTTGTGTTTTGGAATCGATTTATAAGTAACCTTCTTTGCCTTTTATCCACAGATGGAAGCCTTGCATCATACCAGAGAGTAGAGAGGCTTGACTGTAAGTCATGTGTCATTGTTCATCATCATGCACTGATGTCAACATTTGACTTCTTTTAAAATTTCCACCTTTCTTCCAACCAATTTCCAATTGTGTTTCCAACACACTTAAGATTTGTGATAGCATTTATAGCATAATATCAGATTTAATGTCAAGATTTCAGGATTCACAAATCCTTAGAACTCTCATAGCAACATCTTTAGGTCTTTGTGCTACTGAAACTGGATACCTGACATGTCTTGTTCCCTCTATGTAGACCATGTGCCGCGGCCCCTGGTCCTGCTGGGTCCTGTGTGGGAGGCCGTGGCAGACAAGCTGGTACTGGACAACACGGACAGGTTCACCAAATGTGTGCCAGGTAAGACTAGTCTCTACTCTTTCCCTCCCTCATCCTTCCTTCCTTATTTTTTCCTTCCACCTCTTTCCATCCTCCATTTGGTTTGAGGTTTTACTAGATGTTTATTAAGAGGAAGGATGTAATGATCAAACAGTGGTAGCAATATTCAAGCATTTATTTGTAATGTCCTTAACCAGTAACTACCTTTACACCAATTTTCATGTTTTTGACATGCCCAAATCAGGGAAAATGTCCCCAAAACTTGTTTGGCCTCAATTTCTCTCAATGGATTTGAATACATGTACTTGTAAATTCGAGTACATGTATCAACATGTAACAACCCATGCACACATATGGCAATGTAATATTTCAAAAGATGTTTAGATCCTGGAAATTCCACCAATAGTTAGCACATTTTCATCCCATACTGTATAGACTCTCATGTAAGGTCGATAAGTCTCTTACTAAATGTATGTTTGTTATATAGTAGTAGATGCCTTATGTTGTACCTTCTACAATTATTGTGCAGTAAAGATCATGAGATATTGTTTAACCCACAGAGGTGATGAAAGTATCTCCCCAGTCCATGGAGAAGGGTCTCACCGACAACATCTTTGTGGACTTCCGGCGCCGCGGCAGCTCCTTTGAATGTACCACAGCTGCTGCAGTCAAGGAGATCTGTGAAAGGGTCAGTCTGTTTAAAACATACTCACTGTGTCATATTTGTGATCCTTAAACTAAGCATACATGTATAAATCTGTGCTAAGCTTGCATGTACCAGTGCAGTACTTCCTAGGAAGAACACAAGGTGGCGCACATGTACAAAGCAAAAAAAAAAAAACAATGTCATGATGTGACTGCATACATGTATAATGACAGTCTTCTTGAACTACCATTTTGCTTTGTACTACAGTTGAACATGTTTTTGCAGTCATCATAGCTGGCAACCCCATAAAAACTGAGCCAATCATATATTACACCGTGTATACATTGTATACACAGATCTTTGTGAAAAGAAACTGAGAATGTTGAGAAATGTTTTTACCAACATAAGTGGGATTTTAGAATTTGTAATAGTCAGAGAAGATATATTTTCTTGTAACACATGTCATTCTCAAAGCTGAAGGTTTGAATATAAAAAGCTGTCATGTCTGTACCCACTGATTAGTCTGGGAACTAGCAGAACCTTCAAGAAATCCATGACTTGTATGAGATGTGTTTAGAAAGCTTCATACATGCTAGTAATCTAACAGTGTGATCTACTTTGCCCACAGAGTCGTCACTCTATCCTAGACATAGACATACTGGCCATTGAGCGGCTGCACCGCCTGCAGCTATATCCCATAGTACTCTTCATGAAGTGGAAGGGAGCCAAGCAGATCAGGTACAAGCCTTATAACATGTCAAACAGTGCAGAAACTCTGTCAGCACAGATTATTCACGCCTCTTGTTTATTACAGTCAGGATTTTTATGAGGTCACACCAATTTAATTTCTTGGTTCTCTGATTTTTGCAGAAAGTTAATGGAGTGGGCAGTCTCATTAGAAATAAAACTACATGTACAAACACGCTGCAGGCATTCTGTGATAGACCCCCATACTCCCACTGTGTCATGTCACTTTTAGTACCAGGACATTTTAGGTCTTTTTAGGAGGACTATTTTCTTGTAGAAAGAAGTTGTATGTTTACAGGTAGTGCAGGTAAAATTTGTCTGGTGCAGGTATTTTCCAGTGACACCTGTACCAGTGCAGGGATGCAGAAAAAATTGAGCTGAAGTCTTACATAAATGAATAAAACATGTTGCTTCCAAATATCAGTACCCATTGGATTGAATAATGTACATGTACAAATAGCATGTGAGTGTGACTTTATTGACTTGATGGCTTGAAGGCTGATGAATATTACATTATCAGTTGAGCTTGAAATTATCATTCTGTGGGAGAACTTGGCTTTATTCCCTGCCCCAGGCCATCATCTGGCCGTGGATCGGGCCCCACAGCCAACTGATGTTCATCTCAGGGCCCCTCCAAATGCCTTTTCATGGTGCACATGCACCAATTCTTCTGGCACAGGGGTCATGGTAACAGACAAAAAAAGTGATGAAAAGAGTTTGAAAGGTCCAAATTTCACTTCACATCCCTCCTTATTTGCTGCTAAGTGACATTGAATACCAACCTGACTGAAAGGCAGAAAAATTTATATGTCTTTTGTGAAACTAATTTTGGGCCTCCAGCGTGTAATTTTTCTTGTGTATGAGGGAGCTTTATACAGCATGAAACTTCTCCATGTAAAAGAACCAAAAACACCTATCAACAAGAGTAGGGGTGACCTGGTGTGTTTGGCTAAATATGCAAGCAGTAGTGAAGCCACTTGGCATTACTAGCTAACGAGAAGCATCATCCTTTGGCCATCAGTCTCTCAGACTGAGGCTGTCTACTTTATTTCATCTTCTTACATGATTATATTTTCCATGCTGTAGGGAGACAAAGGACCCCAGATTCCTGCGGGAGAAGTTGACTAATAAGCAGGCTCGGGAGATGTTTGAGGAAGGGCAGAGGCTGGAGCAGGACTTCAGCAGATATTTCACTGGTGGGTTCAGCCCCAGGGGATGTCAATCTAATTACCTATTGTTGGTTGACGGGCCAACCAGTGGGGACAGCTGGAATTTTGATTCTTGTATTGATTCTTGTGTAAATGGTCAACCGATTGAGTCTCTTGATAAAAAATAATCCAGCTTGTCCAAGGAATATTCTTATGTGCATCTATAAAAACTGGAGCAATTCTGATTTTGCAATTTAAGTTCCAAGTCAAGGAAAGATTAAATCTTTGTAGCCAAAAAAATTTCAGTGATACAATTGTATGTGAAGCTGAATGGTGTGTTTTTATATTTTAGTACCAACATGGCCAAAATTTAACTGTCTGTGCTCATCCTGCATTATTACATTGAATGGCTTGTAATTATTTGAATATTGCCCTGAAAAAGTTTTGTCCTGTTTTGCTCAAATGTTAGTAAGTAACAGTTATTGGTTGTGTAAAAATAAATGGTTTGCTAGCCTGTAGTTGAATCTATTCATGAAGTACAAATTTTTGATTTCTCCTTTTCAGCCAACATTGCCGGGGGCTCCCTGACGTCCATGTGTGAACAGATCAGGATCATCGTCGATCAAGAGCAGAACAAGACTCTGTGGATCCCATCAGGCTCTCTCTGAACAAGGCTAGAGCATGCTGGGTAACTGCCATATCAGCAAAGCATTCTGGGAAAGGTATCAAGTTGAGACTAGGGCAACACTTGACAGTGTCTTAGTAGGCATGCTGAAACTTTTATGATGTTGAAAGAGTTGCACATCAAAAGCTATTGGAAGTTTTTGAACTAACAATAAAAAAGTAGTATGACTGCATGCCCAAGGAGAGGTTCAGATAAGTATTTTGAAAAATGGGTCCTCTTGTTTGAGATACTAAGAATGATATGGTTTGTCTCTGCTCCTTAGAATCAGCCATTATGTATGTATATTTTATGGCCATAACTGACACTCTAGGGCTAGATTCTTTGTGTAAAAAGATATAAAATTGTAAGGACTACAACTTTGTTAAGAAATATTGTTGCTGGCACTGGCTGCTTTGAAAGGAGCAATACAGAAATTTATGTGATATTTTTATTCTAATATGAAGTAGTTTTAATTGATGGACAGTACAGATTGTTGTTCATGTCACATCGTGAGACAGCAGCTTGCGAAAATGCGAGTCTGACTGTCAGACATAAAGGGCCTTGATTGCCTGGGCACTAGAAGCAATTATAGGCTGGGTTTGATGACAGAAAATTATGGGATATGTGTTGGCCAGATGACCCTTGGCAACAGTCACCATGGTTACAGATATTTTAAGAATAGAGGCTCCTGTATGGTAAGCGCTCATAGGCAGACTGTTACTCTAAGCCACTGTTACTTTGAGTCTGTTTGAGAGTGTGCTTCAAACAGATTTTTCTATCAAGTTTGCAAGTCTTTAAATCATCCAAAAGTAACAAAAACTGACAAAAAAGACTACTAGGAGTGAAAGATATTTCCTTACTTTTAGGGACTCAAATTACAATGCTAGCCACAATTTGTTAATGGTTTTTGCCATGTACATTGTGTAATTTCCTTTCAGTGTGTACACATGAACTGAAATGTCACAAATTCTGAATGCCCTTGAGATCAATTCCAAGTCACTACGATCATTCATTTTGAAGATGGTTTGACATTTTTAACTTTTTTTAATACAGTTTGCGTATATGTAGAAGTGAACGTCTGATTGAAACATTCCAAATTGTCGCAGATGCAACAAACAGCAAGCACATAATATTACATACATAGACAATGTTCAGTACCCCCAAATGTAGACCAATCTGCATTGTGTATACATGTAGGTCATGTTGTCTAAAACCTATTGAGAAATGGTTTATGATATCTTAAACACCAGAGCCCAAATTTGTTGGAAATTACACATCTTACGTAGTCGGTAATTACAATAACAAGTTTGATGATACATGTATATTTGCAAATGCCGAAAAATGGTTGCATCATACACTCGCATGACTTACCCATTGTTTAAACTCCAGCAGTGAGTTTTGTAGCAGTGACTTGGAACTGATTGTAAAAACAAGGGAAGCAACAATATGAACAACATGATCTTTACTGAGTGAGGGTTTCCTCAGATGAAACTATTGAACGGGATTGGTCAGTACAGCCTTTTCTGTCCTTTTTGACGGTTGTACAGAAAGTGTGAAATGGAACAAAATGGAGTGAGATGGAGCTCCATTTTGCACCTTCTGTCCACTGCTTTTTGACAAGGGTACTTCTCTACCCGACCTAGCTCTCTCTCTCTGTCTTGTCAGTGTAGTGGTTCCCTATCGCTACTGTCACAGGTATCCCTAGACATGAAGCATGTAGCAGTTGTTGATGTTAGGACCAGGTCTGTTTCCAACTTGTCTTGCTGCATCTGGGGTCTCACACAAAGCTCCAGGTAGAGTCAAGTTGCTAGAAACAAGTTTCTGTGCTGAGGGGGAGGGGGGCTCCCTTCATTCTCCATCTTCCTTGTCAATAATGGTGAAAAAACAATTGGTTCCACTTTTTATTTCATTATACACCAGAAACTGATATCATTTTGTCACAAGGTTTCACCTGTTGTTTTTTTTTCTAAACATCACATCCACTGATTCTGTTAAGATTCCACCATTGTGAACATTTCATCCTCCCTTCCCCTTTTGTCACTGGTATAGTCCACTACATGTACAGGCCTGTGGAGATGGTAGATGTAACACAGGTATTATATACAGACTAAACTATGGATGTTGAGTCAGACAAGACAAGTTTTAGGGTATTTTGTGTCAGACTAGAAAGTAGCTCGCCATGATGTGAAAGAAAGTGCGACAAAAAATGGAAAAACTAATTGTGATGTGTTCACAAAATTCCAGCTAGTGTGTGCAGAAAACTGCAAAAAAAGCTAAATGGAAAAACATAATTGCTATGTTATGTGGTTGGAAAATGAACCTATGATGTGAATGAAATAAAATTACCATTCCTGGATAACAACAAACTGAGTAAATTTTGACAGACATTCTCAGACCAACTGTACTAGATAAACATCAGGTTTCAGTCTGTCAACTGATGAAATTACATCAGCCAGCATTTGATTTGATTGTCTTCAGATGTGTTAAAAATAGTGAATAAATTCTTGATTTATTCTTTGCTCATGTGCTTACTTCATGCTGTTTGCAATATTTCTTGCCTAATATGGCCACATGGTTTTTTGACCTTAGGTAGGTCTCTGAAACTGGCTTATAATATGATGAAATAATTATGTCATCTCAATGTGTATCATAATGTTTGCATTACATTGATTGTATTGTTGCTTCTACTTTGCCTTAGCCATCAACTGCCTTCTGTGTTGAAAAGAATTGTTGCATGTTAATTTTACTCTGCACTATTCTGGTGGATTGACTGCATTATGTGTCACATTGGAATGCTCCCATGACTTGCTAATCCTTATGTAACCCCTGGGTACTGGACATGCACTCTTCCTGTGTACAAATTTGGCCACACAAAAAATGTCTTGTGTCGTGAATTATTTTGTGTGGAAGAAACTATCCACCGTACAGGTCACCAACTGTATCGCATCAGATCTATGTAATATCAGTACTGCCTGACAAGGCTGCAAATTGTATCTTACATAGAAGAAGACCCCTGTATACAAGGTTGTGCAAGGGAGTCTAAAGTTTTATTTTTGTAGACGTCTTTTTATAGGGTATATCCCACTATGGAGGATTTTGGTGTATCAAAATCACCCCAGCTGGAAAGAGTGCATATCACTGGTGCCTAGTGAACCTCCCAACACACGACTGGTGTTGAAGTAAGAAATTGGTACTGCTGCCAACTCAACAATTCGGCAAGTTGAAAATCCTAACCGCATGGAATTAGAACGTGCCATTGAGATGGGTGAGGTAGCCATGTTGTATGATATATATGTGTATAGTGGTGATATTAATACCGCTAGTTCTAACAATGATGAAGCTTGTTTTCGATTGAACTGATATGTATATAGAGATGTTCTTGTTTTGTCCCCCGTGTTATGTAGATCTCTATTGAGTTTTTGAATTGAAGAGTAATGTTACAGTGTGGGTGCCTGCGCGTGTTTGTTTTGTTGAATGTGCTGCTGTGACTCGTGAACTGCTTACCATGCACAAACAAATGGCAAATAAAGTACTTTTGTCATGAAACTGTGTGCTTGTGTGTTTTCTTGAGGATATTCCGTGTTTAACCCTCCAACAGTCAGAACTCAATGAAAACATTATTTTGTAATGGAGGGTCTGCATGGGGGGATCGTGGCAACACTTAATGCTAGATTTAAGACTAAGAGGGCTGGCAACACTTAACGGTACATTCAGGCAGGCCAGCGACGCTTAATGGTAATCTAGCTGTTCTTGTGTAAAACTTTGGAAAAAACTAACGAATATTATTTTTGTGTCTGAACTACAAATGTACCAGTAGTTCCTCAGCATACTCCTGAAGCCAGGGAGATGTGATGTGATTAGATCAATGCTGGGCTTTGTATTCTAAAGGCTTTTGATGCTGTCATCACCACATATTGCTATGTCATCTCCATCTGTTATCTAATTGTGCTAGTGTTGGTACGCATTGCAGTAAAAGCATCCCTGTAGCATTATGTTAAAATAACCACCCACTGACTGCTGTTTATGTTGCATTAGAGCAATCAGGTTTCAAATTATGAAGAATCAAAACAGCTGATTACTCCTCATGGAAAAAGGGCATACATGTTCCATTAAAGATACTCAGACTTCTGAGAAGAAAGACATCTGGGAATCTGCAATATAGAAAATTAATGTAAGGCAATGGCAATCTGTGTGCTAAAATATTAACAGTTAAGTGTCGAAACAATGTATGTGCTCAGCATATTTTTTTTCTTTTTAATAATTAGAAAAAATAAAGCTGGCAAATCCAAGAAAAAGAAATTAAATTTGGTATGACCTAGTCCTTTTTTATTTGGCAAATCCCCTGATAATTCTACAGTTCAAATTTTGCATGGCTTTCATGTTCATTGCCATGGGAACTGCAAGCGGTATTAAATGTCTGCTATGTTATCAAAGCTTTTATCAACAACCTCAAACTCCAGATGTCTGGAAGGACTATGAAAAAAAAATGTTCTAGAACTGAAAAGGTAGTGTAAGTCAGCTGATCGGGGGAGGGGGGATTTGTCTAGCATGCTATGGTCAGCCAGGCAGTTTGGGATGAAATTTTAATTGGTTATGGGGCAGGGGTTAGGGGTCTGTCAAAGCATTGGCCCTGCAGGAGTGGTCTGGAGTTTCAGGCTATCTGTCCAGATGCTGGACCATCAAAGGGAGGGGTCAGACCAGCCCCCATATCTGGGATGCCTGTCTGTCTGCCCATCCCATGAATGGATGATGACAAACTGGTGATGAATGGCAGTTTGAGTGTGGCATCTGTAGTGGTGACACCATTGTGGAAACATGTGTCTATGACTACCCAGCCTCCTCATGATAGAAACTTGCCTGTGAGAAAATATTACTTTTTTTACCTCCGGGGAAGGAGATATCCTTCCGCGAGGAGGTTTTACTATCATTCGAAACATTTCTGTCAGCAGCTGTTTCTCGCGATCGGCTGGACGGATTGGTCTGTTGTTCGGTATACGTATTGCTGTTGGACTGCAGATGATGCAGAACGTTTTTGTTTAATTGTATATGTGTTTATGGGCGTCGAAGTAAAAGGTTTTTAAGTGCTCCGGACACCCCCGCCATGCTGAAAATGGAATTTACCATGTTGTTAAGGAATGGGGAGGTTTCAGTTTTGGGTCTTACCATTTAAAAGGGGTCAAACAGAGGGGTGTCTGCTTCCGATATGTATTTTGAAATATTATCGCAGTTGTATCTCGCGTTGGGGTAGACTGGACTCGGTGTATGTTCTTCTAATGGGCTGTAGATGGTGCGGGTTTTTTTGTTTTTATTGTATATGTGTTTTGGGGCGTAAAAATCTGAAAATCGTCGCGCGCGGCGCTGGGCTGGCTGCCAGCGCAACTTCCGGGTGGGCCAATGGGTCAGGGGTCAACGCCCTCTTGCGCAATCTTGGATGTTTTCGGCGTATAGTACGACTTCTTAACTTACAAATACCGTGGTATACTGTCTCAGACGTTCTCGACATGCATTTTTACCGTGGGTACATGGTATGGGCTGCAGATGAAAATGTTGACCAGTCCAGGAACGCTAAATCTAACACATAAAATTCAACACCATCAACTATACAGAACAAACAACATGGAAAAATATACATGTACAATAAAAAGCCCGGAGGTATAAAATCTCAGATTTTACTTGTTTTCTTTTCTAAATGATACTGAAATGTGTGTGATGATAGGGGATATTGTACCAGTAATGTTAACACCAATTCATTGAACATTTTATGTTTCAACACAAGGAAAATCTCAAGGGACAGCTTTTAACAATGTTTTATGAGGAACTTTGCAATGCGAGTATTCAAGATATATGTATCTATTATTTTTCCTTTTTAATAGTTTAATGTCCAGACACTTTAACACCTGTGGTTTGCGCTTGGAATTTCCTAATGCCCTATGATGCCCAAACCCACCTGTCGGCAGTGTCGGCTATCGTCTTGCAGCATCGGGTTTCTTCGGCAAATTCCGGTAAATCGCACGAACAATGCCGAATAATCTCTGTTCGCTCCTTACTTTCATATATCCGTGTGCAGACACAAAAATAATTCCCGAGGACGAAGTGTATATTTTTCATATTGCACCTTCCTATGGAACTTAAAATTTAATTGGATAAAGATTACTTATTTTTTCAGTTATGTTTTTCAATCCTGCAGTATTATGATATCATTAAGATTTTAAAGGTGGCGGATTCATTCCCGTTTTAATGAGTGTGATGTGGCAGAACCGCCCGTTCCGCAGGTATAAGCCACGTGGTGTGGGTCACAGTGGAACATTCCATCTCTTTTGCATTTGGTCAGCTTGAAGCTTCACGTCTACCGGCAAAACCCGAACAAAAATGGCCAGGCCAAGGGTCTTCTTCGACGTTACCGCTGGTGGTAAGCCCCTCGGGCGTATTGTCATGGAGGTAGGTTACACAATTTGCTTCATTTTTAATAACGTCTTAGATAATAATTTTAGTCGCATGGCCAAGGTACGTTCATGGCTTCACCACGCCTGGATAGGACCTCGTAACTGTTACACTCCCTGAGCGTCAAGAAAAATCCATGGTCGTCTTTTCTGGAATGTCCAATTTCCTTCAGTGTTTTAGTCAAGTAATATGAAATGCAATAATATCGAGGTCTCCGGGGGAGGGGAAGATTTGCAGATATTTTGGTGCTGCAGGGTGTGGAAATTTCTAGATCATTGTGTTGGGTTTTTTTGTGGCGACATGCCACTTCCTTTTTCACGGCCGGCCTTTTAGCATGACATCATGTCCATATCCCAACCCAATGCGGTAAATTAGAAACAAAATGTTTGAAAAATTGAGTCGTATGTGAGAATGGAAGCACGAAGACCTATTTCGGTCATTTTAGAGCTTCCAGTCATTCAGGCAAGGTGAAATGCTCAGGTTTTTCGCCCGCATGTGACTGCCTTGGTTTTCAACGGTGATTTGCATAAAAAGCGTCTCTCGTTTTGTGGCCTGAGGGCACCCCACCATCATTCTAATACGGCTTTATCTTTTTAATTTCTTTTCATTCACCAGAATTGCAATCATTTTTATTTTGCTTCAAATGCAATGCCAAGATCGAACGTCACTGATCAGAGGTGTAGAGATTTTAGGACAATGTAATGATACCATATAAGGAAGTCCACCCACTCAAAATGGGGCCCGGGAAAAGGGTTTGCAGAAATGGTTTTGGCAATGCACCAGGGGTGGAGCAGTAGCGACCACAGTAATCCTCTCAACCATCATTGAATGTACAGGGTCTTCCAGTGCAATAGTTGGAATAGAGATATTATAGAACCAAAGTGCAGTGTTAGTTCCCACCCATTCAAAATGGGGGCTTGAAAAAGGGTTAGGTTGAATGTTTTGGCAATGTGCCATGGGTGGAGCATAGTAACCATTGTTCTCCCAACCACAGGATCAGGGCATGCATGGGATCTTCCAATGCAGTAGCAGTTCTGATGATCAATTCAGTTATATTTTTTTTTTAGAGCATGCCTGTTTTATGCTTGTTATTAAAACTGTTACCTAATGAAGTTCTTAGTGGAATTATTCAAGTTGACCTTAAGAGTTTGAATTTTTGAACTGTTAAGAGGAACATACCTTGTGATAGACCCATGCATGCAGCCCCCAAAATATCAGCCTAATTAAATAAATAAAATGTGAGCCTACTTTATGATATTTTTAAACTATATACATATATAGCAAACCATTGTGCTTTGTTGGTAGAAACATGTGGTCTGTGGTCAGAAGTAAGAATGTCTGACAAATGCCTTGCAAATTGTACATCACCCATTTTCTGATTATTTTGCAGCTCCGAGGTGATGTTGTCCCCAAGACAGTAGGTAAGATAGACATGATTGAATGCCATGTGCTATCAAGCCTATCATTGTGATTGCAACTCTTTATTTGTTAATCCACGGTCACCTTTGTACTACATAATATGTTCAGCCTTGTTGTACCTTTGAATCCTACCTAACCACAGTGTCTACTCTACTATTATTTCTACCATATTATGTAGTCTCCTCTCCACTGTAGTTCCGTACTGTACTGGAGTTTTGTGATGAGGTGTATTGTTGACAAACTATTTTAACTAGGCATATCACCTTGTATGCAGAAAAGCTGCAAGGGGGTCCAAAGCTACCCCAATTCTTGTTTTTCCACCAAAGAATCATGGCCATAGCATTGTCCAATTTGCCCAGAAGAAGAGGTTTCAAAACTTGATGGTCTGCTGCAGTACAAAGGAGAGCAACTAGGTGGTCTTCAATAAGTGAAGACCAGCCCACGTACCAAATTTCAAGACAATCCATCCATAGCTTCTTGAGTACCGTGCAGTGCTAAACTATACTCTGTCTTGTACAGAGAACTTCCGTGCCCTGTGTACTGGAGAGAAGGGCTTTGGGTACAAGGGGTCGACCTTCCACCGCGTCATCCCCGGCTTCATGTGCCAGGGGGGTGACTTCACCCGGGGGGACGGCACCGGAGGCAAGAGCATCTACGGCAATAAGTTTCAAGATGAGAACTTCCAGCTGAAGCACACTGGTAAGAGAAACCTTCCACAGGACCACAGCAAGATCATTTCAGTTCTAGTTGTATATGTACTTTGATCTGCATTATTTACCTTAGCTTTTAATTTTAGGTATTGTGGCATTTTTCCAAAGTGTAGCTTACTGTTTTCTGTGCTACCTTAGGCCCAGGTATCCTGTCCATGGCTAATGCTGGCCCCAACACCAACGGCTCACAATTCTTCCTGTGTACTGCAGAGACAGCCTGGTAAGATAAACTTGTTTTATGGTGCTACAACAGCATGATATCTGTCACACTTCATGGGTGGGGAGCTTTCCTCACAAGATGTTGTGTCATGGGGAAAGGTACTTTTTAGGACTTCACTCATTACTAAATGATTGGACGGTCTCAGAATTTTCCAATTGTCCCAAAACGTAGTTTGAATCGCCCTGACACTGGGACAATGTTAATTTCGAGCCCTGCATGGTTTTCACTGGTGATGGTGACAATTTGGTTTCATACAGCCATCCAAACATTTTATGTAATATGTATATGCACTTGTACAGTGATATCCAAAACACTAATATTGCGTTGATAATTATCATTTGATTAGTAATTCATGTCTCGTGTTTGTTTCCGTTTCAGGCTGGATGGCAAGCATGTTGTGTTTGGCAGTGTCGTGGAGGGAATGGAAGTGGTGACGGCTGTCGAGAAATACGGTAGCGGCAATGGCAAGACCTCGGCAAAGATCGTCATCGCCGACAGTGGGCAGCTGTAACAGGGCACCGGCATAGTCCCTGTTTCTTATCAATATATGCTAGAGTTCAGTTCAGAAGCCCCATAATGTCTCTACTAGGGTCCAATCATTATATCGTAGGCAATGCTATCACCTGTAGCTGTACAGTTCTGTCCCTACCCCTCACGTACACCTAACATGTATGCTATCTTGTAGGTGATCACCAAGCACAGGCTTAACACAACAGATAAGATTGGAAAATATGACCGAAATTGCTCATGCTTTCTATGATAAGGAGTAATGCAATTAACCATGAAATCTTCAAATCCTGTAGTGCACTTAAGTAAAGCTTGTCAGTATACTTCTCTACACAAAATAGTTGATTAGTAAACCCAAAGTACAGTTTATACAAATCATATAATCATGATTTAACAGGCTTGATATTTTACTTATTATCATCTTCTCCTTTGTTGTGCCAACGGCCATGTTAACCTCAACAGCCATGTTAACCTCTGGAATCATGTTGAGATTTTTCACTTGTATGTAGACATACGTGTAGTGTACCTGGGCACCAAGCATTAAGGGTGTACTTGATGGTTTTGGAACACAACTGTACAATCTTGTACTTCAGTATCGTGTCAGAGGAGTATTAACGATCAGTCCCTCCCTGTTACAATGAACTTAAGGTCGTACAAGCTGAAACAACAGTACAAGAATGTTAGATTCCAACCCTGTCCCATATTCAGTGGATGTTGTGTCGTTCGTACCCTTCGAGCTGCCCATTGTGTTCCTCATCACTCGTTCACCGTGGCTCATTAAACTTTCTATCACCTCACTAAAATGGCTTTATGGTTCCTTTTACTTTGATGTGTATTCACTCATTGCATACTTACTGTCGTAATGCGTTCTCCCTGGAGGGCGTCAGAACAATATACAACCCTGAATTTTACAAATGCACAATAGAACTTTGATTAGATTGCACTTACATCTCTGCCAGCCCAACTTTGGTTGGCCCCCTGGGGACTGGCACATAGCCAAGGACTGGCCTGTGGAAGGTTTTCACACAGCATCCCTCCCTGAAAATACAGCTTTATTCTAAAACATTGAAAATCAACCGTGCCCTCACAACACAATACTTACCAAGGTTAGGTAGCCATTGGTCACCACATCTGTATAGGTTATGTGGTTAGACAGCAGGGAGAAAGTTAATTCCTTGGTTCTCATATTTTGAAGTTAATTTATGGTGCAATGAAGTTGAGACAAACTATGATGATATAGGATCTTTAGTCATTATACCAGGCTGGTTACCATTTGAAATTATAAACTTTGAATGTACATGTATTACAATTGAAGAACAAACAGGAAGACGGACTTTCTTCAACCTATGGGAGCCAAAACCGGTAGCATTCCAGTTGCTTCATATTGACTTTTTGTAATCAGCCTCAGAGAACCTCCAAATCAGGACTAAAGAGAGCTGGTGTCTGTTAACTTTTATCAACAAATTCAACAAGCAAGTGAAAGTTGTCTCTGGAAGAATTGAACATCTGCATGGTGGCTTGAAGTTTTGTCTGGAAATTGGCGGGGGGGGGTGATCGCAAACTGACCAATACCAGTAGATCATAAAGTCATAAGAACTAGAATTATTCTTGTTGGTTTCTACCTTTTGATCCTTACACCTGAAATTTGTTCCCCACTCCTGGGCCCTCTAGCTTGCCTAGACTCTTTATCCCAATATTGACTCATTACTGGTAAGTGGAGTATTTGTTCAGTGCCATGGATTCTTAATACAAGAGAAATTTGAACCCATACAATCGAAACTGAATATTTTTCTCTGACATGCAAGTAAACATGCATATTGCTCCCATGCAAAAAGTACAGTAATTTATCATGAGTTGACGGGTAAATTTTGCTACTGGTTGAGTGTGTTGCACTTGGAAGTAAGGAGCAATTTTTGTGTGAGTTATCAGTTTATCTTTACTATTTATTCAGCCCTGAGGGGGAAGGGTACATAGTCTTTGTTGTTTGCACAAGTCTGTTATCTGATACTGGTGTATAGTCTGCTGCCCACAAGCTTTTAGTTGATTCAAATTGATGATAATACCCCCATCAGTGACATCACACTAGAGGCAGAATGGTTTAGAATTTCAAGTTTGCATATTCCTTTATTGTCTTCGTCAGAAGGACTATGAAATTGTCTCGCCGGAGTGTGGGGAACTGCGGATTTTGCGATATAACTCTGCAAGGCATGATTCGACATCCATGATTTTTGGCAGGCAGATTACCGCTGTTGAGGCCAAAGTCAAGTACAAGTTTCGGCTTCGTGGGGGGTCCGTGCGTCACGTTAGTGCACCTTTTGTGTTTGTGGCTTGTTAGCAAGATAACTCAAGTATTTGTCAAATGTTGATCATAATTCTTGGTGTGGTGCTTACTATTGTCGGGACCAAGGTCAAGTTCGTTACTGAGCTTCGTGGGGGGGTTCGTTGTGACTACAGGGGGCATTTTGTTAATTTTTCTTGTGAGCAGGATAACTTTTGTATGTGTGGATGGAAGTTAATGAAATTTGATAGGCATGTTACTGTGGTGGTCTCCAAGATTGAGTTCAAAGATGAGAGTCGTGGAGGTCGTTATGTCCCCGTAATAGGACCTTTTGTGTTTAGAAATCCCCACCTACATCTGCTTGGAGACAGCCGACAGCTGGATATAGCCGGGAACCCCATAATGGGATGGGATCAAATGACGTTACATTGAGGGATTGTACTATAACTTCAGCAGGGGGAGGATAGGTTGGACATATGTCAGGTTATTTTCTACGGCCACGCCAAGTAATTGCTATGGATGACGTCCACTGGAGACCTTAAATCTAATTACCTTAAATTTAAGGCAAGCGCGCAATAAAATCACGAAGGGCCGAAAAACGAGATGTCTAGATTTGGAATATACTAACTGTAGAAGTACAAATGTTAGGACACAAAGAACACAAGAAACAAGTCTTCTATTTGTCATAAAGACAAATTAACAAAACAGCAGTAGTCGCCCTGTTCTGATTCTTTCCTTTATAACATCTTCTCTTATTATATTTTGCGGCGCTGTCGTGACACAGTAAGAATTTCTTGAAGGTTTTTTTTTCCAGTAACAGTCCAAACTCAAATAACGTGGGGGGGGGGCAACGGGTGACGACGCATCTGTATAATCTGCGGCAAACCGTTTCAGGGTGTTCTGTACCATAAAAATAGTACAGAGATTCTTTTGTTCTTTAGACCAAATTGATTATTAAAAAGAGTGAAGAATACGCATGTTAATTTCTCTAGAACGATGTACCTCTGACGAAGACATGAGATCTCCGACCTCTAGTATTTGAAGTGCATTGTTGCTGCATTACTTATATTTGGTAATGCTAAAAACTTTCAAGGACAAGGTCAGAAATATCAATGAAAATGTATTCTAACTGCATCATGACTGCATTCATAATATTCCTACAGCATTCAAACAGTGTAGTGAACCGAAATTGACCCACATGAAGCATGCTGTGATCTAAGAGAAGCCATAGATAGGGGGTCCTCTTATCTATCCTGACTCCCTTGCAGTCCAGGGCCCATAGTGCTTTCAGCGCCTCCTGTGACTTAGTGCGGGCATTGCAGGATCGTCAGGAAATCATTTGGCTGTAATTCAGTAGCAATTCAACCTTAAAAAAGACACAAGCACGCCGTGACAAAATAGATATCACAGTCTTTTAACACTTGGCAAGGACAACGGTGTAATTTTTTGTGCGTGGGTTTTTCCTGCCCTAAAACAGCAAAGTCATACCTAACTGAGCTAAACTGTATGAAACCAATAATCCACCAAATCACCATCGGACGACTTTCCGACAAACATGCAAACCAGTACTGTTGAAAGCATTACCTTATATCTGTATCTGTATAGTCAGTGCAACTGTCCTTCGGTGTGACACAGCTTCACAGGCACGCGGCGCGGCGGCAGCCGGTTATACTACACATAATGAATGGTCTCTTACACCTACCCTTTGAACATCTAAGCGTTGTTTAAAGCTATCTAGTGATGGTACCTCTACTGTACTTGGTGGCAGTGAGTTCCCGTCTACGTATATCACAATTGATCAACAAAAGCCCATTGTCATTGGTAGTCAAAGTTACGCGATTGTTTCTTGTATGCCAAAATCGTGACGTCATAAATCTTTTTCACCACATCTTATTATGGAACTGCGAATTTGTGGACATTCCAGAACGCTGTTACGCTGTTTTCTGACATGATGCAAACTGAAGAGGTAAAGGCGTACTACACTTTCCAAGAGCCCGTTCCCCTGAGACGAGCACGGCAGACTGTACTAGAAGGGATCCAAACAGAAACCTTGAAACTTCAATACTTCTCTCACGAGTATGGAGAAGTTCCCATCCTCTTCGGCTACCTGAGTGTCCGGTCCCAGGACGCGGCAGAGGACGCCATCACCAGCATGGTGGCCATGTTTGAGGAGGAAAAGGCCACCCTGCTGACGGAACGGACGGACGGCCCGGTCGGTCCGCGTACCTACCTCCACTCCAAGTACTCCGACCTTCTCAAACAGGCCTGCTGCTGCTGTTGGAAGTTTCAAATTGATCCAAGTAACCCGTTGATCAAAAAGGTTCTCACTTTCGACGTCCTACATAGTGACGAGAACACTATTTCGCGTCTGATTCGAGTCATCAACGACAAGACCAATGGATTTAATCTGGGACTTGTGTCACGGTGGTTCCTCAGACAACTGCAGAAGAAGTTCAAGTATTTTGTAAAGGTGGCGGCAAATACTTGGTTTGCTGACAGTGTGGGGCATAGACTGCGATTGGTCAATCAGTTGGAGTCACCCTGGGAGTTCAGCTACTTGCACCTGGCCTCGTTTTGCACACACCCGAAGCTGATCGCCTTGCTGCTCCGGCACGGCGCGGACCCGGACCGAGGATCGCCCCGCTTCGGTCGGCGGTGCCCTGTGGAGTACCTCTTCCTAGCTATGTGCTGGGACGTGTATAAGGTCCGTTGAAATGCCTGGTCTTTTATGTCTATATTTCCTTGTCACTTTGAATGTCGATGCCGTGCGGAGTATCTTTTCCTCGCTATGAACTGGGTGGTGTATAAGTTCATTGAAATGTCTGCTATTTAATGTCAATATTTCCTTGTCGCTGTTAACTTTCCAGCATCGTCAAACTACACGTAGTAAGAAAACGTACACATTAACTGTATTCGATCATTTGTAGAGGACATCCCTTGGTTTGTTTGTTTGTTTGTTTGTTTGTTTGTTTGTTTACATGTTTACTTGTGAATCACCTCCGCAGGGTCGCGATGACTGTGCCTGTCGTGTCCGGCGCTGCCTGCAGATCTACTGCCGAGCCATGCCGAGGATCCCGCTCCAGATCCCGTCCTTCCACGACCCGAGTGACTCGGACAGCGACTCGGAGCCCGACCTGTTGGCCGTCCCGCACGCGCGGTGGAACTCCTGGGTGCCCCGGGAGAGGTGCACCAACCCCTGCGAACTCAAGCACCTCTGCAGGTGTCTCATCAGAAAACGTCTGCAGGACAACGGGATGCTGCCAGGGGGCGTTTATCAACTCAACTTGCCGACGCTTCTGCAGAAGTATCTCGACTTGCTCCTTGATTAGTTATGATGACTCAGTGCAAGCCCATGACATGCGTCTGTAGTTTTGGGGTGGAATAAAGGGGGAAATGTTTTGGAGCGAAACGTACAAACCCTTTGTCTTTTAAAGTTTTGTACCTTGTGCTGAGAACGTATGTAATCAATTACATACAGAGGGTAAAATGCTCTCAAAAGCGTTCCATCAGCGAAATGTTCTTCGCAGTTCTTCGCTTGGCGTGCGGATGACGTCACCTGTACGACACCTGTTCAGAACAGAATGTGCCTAGCCCAGCTCTGCTCACGTGTCTGGTAGAGATAGTTGTGCAATATTGCCGTAACAGATGGCTTGTATCCATCACCGTTCAACACGTCATATGGACAGTACACTGTTACTGACAGGGTAGACTAGTATTTCCTTTACCGACACTTCAGTACCATGGACAGCAGTACACTGTTACTGACAGATTAGTGTTTCCCTTACCGACACATCAGTACCATGGACAGTACACTGTTACTGACAGATTAGTGTTTCCCTTACCGACACTTCAGTGCCATGGACAGCACACTGTTACTGTCATGCTAGTGTTTCCCTTACCGGCACTTCAGTACCATGGACAGCACACTGTTACTGTCATGCTAGTGTTTCCTTTACCGACACTTCAGTACCATGGACAGCACACTGTTACTGACATATTAGTGCTTCCCGCACCGACACTTCAGTACTATGGACAGTACACTGTTACTGTCATGCTAGTGTTTCCCGTACCGATACTTCAGTACTATGGACAGCACACTGTTACTGACAGATTAGTGTTTCCCGTACCGATACTTCAGTACTATGGACAGTACACTGTTACTGTCATGCTAGTGTTTCCCTTACCGACACTTCAGTACCATGGACAGCACACTGTTACTGACAGATTAGTGTTTCCCGTACCGATACTTCAGTCTGTAAATCTTTACAAAGAGTGGACTTCAGTTGTCTTCTCTGACGGTTGTCAGCCTAATCTTACAGCTCACCTGCGTAATTAATATGTTCCCATGTCAGTGTATAATCCAGATCCATAATAACGTGGGATGGATCAGCCCCTGCAGTTTCAAATGCAGACGTTAGGAGACGTTATTACTTCACTCTAGGGAGTTAAATGTCGCGTTCTGCTTGTCCGTGTGTCTGTCTTTGTGCGTGTCTCTGCGCCGAAGTTCCGTATGTTCTGCTAGAGAAAGCATTTCTGAGGCTGATGAAGTCTGTCCGAGCTTTGCGCTGAACTGGATGAACCTGAGACACCATGATCACGTTAACAACCAATCAAATTAATCTCATCAGAGATTATGAATGAAATGAACCATTTATAACGCCATACCTCCTGAGGTAGGTCCTCCTTGGAATCTTGATTATGGGTGCTAATGGAATGGCTGTTCAAGATGAAGAACTCCTTGTTTTTTTTCAAAGTGGAAAATTTGGTTGCGTGGTGAGAAATGTTCACAAACGATTTTTTCTGAGAATCCGTGTATTTAGATGGAGGGTACGCAGGGGGGGTTAACAGAAGATTATTGTCGTTCAATTCAGTACAATTTATTTATTGTTCATTCAGCATAGTGGTATGCGAAAAAAAATTCCCGTGTTTCCGGAAACGACAACTTACGTACAGTACGGGCCAAGTACTCACTGTAATCCTAGGTAGCCTCCCGCGCAGACTTTCCTAGCTGTCTGCGTTTGTCTCTATGAGCGCGGCGGCTTCCTTTCGCTGGGAGAGCTGTATCTGGGCTGAGCTCTATATAAAAAAACCCGCCACGTTCATAGAAACAACGTAGGCCGCAAGAAAAGTCTGCACAGGAGGCTAAATCCCCGGGTGGTTAGAATCTGATCTCCGCGCTGCACTCAGGAGAAGTAATGGTCGTTCCCTATTCGGGCACGGCGGGCGGTCGAGGGGCTTTCAGTCGCCTTGATAGTTAGAATGTGACGAACCCATCATTGTAAACCCTGGGGGTAGGGTTATGGTAATGATATACCAGAGATAGATTCGTCTCATTAGGTCTACTTAAGTTGGAATGCATGGTGTTCTAAGAGGAAGAATAATTGTATGTTGTATGACTGGGCCTTGTTATAACGCGTACGGCCGGTGAGAAATTAGTTCTATCGTCTTATCTAAGTAACCTTCAATGGCAAGGTTAACCATGTTATCCCCAAGAAACCGATTCTAACGAGGATAAGGACACGTGTGTTGGTGCTAGTGTGCAGATTTAGCAATTTTTTTTCTGTGCGCAGAGTAACATTATAGTGGCATTAGATTACCAACAATCCGAAAATGACTTCAAATCCTGTTAATTCTCCGCATGTACAACACAGCAAACGATGCTGTATGAGGCATAGAGGTCAAGGTCAACGTTAACTGTGAGCACCGGTGGGGAGGGGATCGGTCAACCAATAACCTTCTCCCTGTCATAATGAGGTAGGCTAGGTGATGGGACTTGTGTATGTGGCTCGATTTTATTGGTGTCCATCTGGATGATTATGCAACGCGGTTGAGTGAGCAAAGGCTAGGCCTAGAGGGACACCTGATATTTTCTGCTGTTCAAGGAAAACACCCATTCAGCGCTACCCGTGGAAAAAATCGATATGTGATCAGAGGAGTGCCATGACGACTGATCCCCGGCAGAAGGACAGGGTCTTGCGGTTTGGATTCCTGTAATGGCGGTTTATAAATAGATGCCTTCAGTGGTTTGGGGAAGGGATGAGCACCCAAAATGGCAGGTGCTGAACTCACCCAAAGTCTCGCGATATTACGAGAGCGATAAGTCAGCCCCACGGCCGCCGCTACGATTTGCATGAGCCCATATTGAAGGACTCGTCTGACGCCGCTGCCTGTGCGGATGCCTCGCGCTTCGCCGTTTTGATAAGCGCGGTCCTGTAGCAGGCAGGGGCCGCTACAAGCCGCGGCCTTCTTAATGGCTACGTGAGCATCCATCAGCGGTTAATGTTCGAATCTAAAGCAGTGATCTACAGCGTATATCAAGTGTCTTAGGTACAAGCCCCTTGTGTAGGACTCCCTGCTGAATGCAGAATGAGCCCCTTCGTAGGTTGCTGCGCTTCGCAGTGTGGCAAAATGCCCAAGAGGCGGGCAATTCCTCATAATCTACCTCGCAATTAGGTTCCTACCCTACAACCCCAACCATTGCTTTCGGGCAAGAGGATTAACGTAAACTGCACGACGAAACGAAGGAAATGAACTTTGAGGAAAGGGACCGCAGAGACTCACACACACACACACACACACACACACACACACACACACACACACACACACACACACACACACACACACACACACACACACACACACACACACACACACACACACACACACACACACACACATACACACACACACGAACACACACACATTATGATAAACACAAACACGGACGCAATATTCTTTGGTTCGAAGGTCAAAGACTTTCTCACACGTGCCGTCCGGCGAAGTTAAAACACTGAACCGGGACAAGATGCAAAAGGTATAGTACGCACACGTATGGCTGTCAGGGGATTTTGCGTGGCATGAAACTTTTCTCATGTGTTTAACAGTGTGTTTCCGCTAATGCCCTCAAATACTTTATACCCACCTCGTTTGATTCCAACGAAAAGGCTTTCTATTGGTTAAAGGCCGACACTGATGGGCCAATCACACGGGGTACAATGTACATGATTTATATGACGCGCGTCGGTGATAATTTGATGGGGACGGCTATACTCGTATCTTTACATTTTACCACATAATGGGTGGATTTGTTGTTGATGAACGTTACTTTCACAACGTTTACAATGTTATTTCTACCCCATGTGAAGTATTGTTTTCAGCCGCGTCTGTTTGTGTGTTTCTGCGATTCGCAACATACTAATGTAGCGTTGCCATACTTTATCCACAGGGTGAGAAAGGTCGTGCAGCAGTATGGGTAAGGGAGTGAAGTCTGCCATCCGTGATTACCTTGTTCTCATACGTTTAGAACAATGCTTCTCAATGTTGCTCATTACGAGACAATTTCTTTCTTTTTTTCTTCTCTCATACTGAGTCATAGTGGAAACAATTTTTTTTCCGTGTCAACTAAATTATCAAAGTATTCCTGTGTGATTTCTAGAAAGCCGGGAGGTGTCTTCACTGCAAACAGAGACTAAGAGATGGAGAGTAGATAGAGAGGGAGAGAGAGAGAGAGAGGGTGAGGGAAAGAAAGAGGGAGAGAGGAAGAGAGAGGGAGAGAGAGAGTAGAGAGTTTTGCCTTGGAGAGGTGTCGAATAATTGTTTCGAAGTTACAACCGTTTGAATTTTGAACACGATTGACTCCATCTGAGAGCAGGAAACAAACAACCCCAGAACAACCAAATATGGCGATCACCCTCCTTGTCGTGACGTCGGTTCCATCACCTGTTGACGACCTTCCTGACAAAAACACTGCGATGCTTATTACCATGACAAAAAGCACAAGGATGAAAGCTTTCAGCAGCTCCATGTATGGAGAAGGATTGGAAAGGTAAAAATGATAAATAGTACTTGAACTGCAATAGACAATTACAAGTCTAACACTTTTGGATGTTAGTGCACATGATGTCAATCACTGAGTATAGCTCTGTTGTGTACAGCTCTTTCCATGGAGTGTTTCTCCCCTGCTCTAGTGAGTTTATTTCGATGTTTTATTATCATCGTTGCTTGACTTTATATATCTAGTGGTCCGCATGGAGGCAAACGGAGAAAAAAAACGCGGATTATTAATAAGAGACTCACATCATGTCGCAAAAACAAGTCCCATATTTCAAAGTCTAGTGGTCACCCATCCTTCAGCCTGCTAAGGTAGCCTTTCGGTACCAAATTTGCATTCAGTGCCAGGTAGTGTTAGGCAGCAGGGTGATAGTTGCAGCACTACGAAAACTACAAAGTAAAAACACATACTATTAAAATGCCCCCGATCGAAACAAGCCGGACCCTACATCCACTTGATGGTTATGTGACGTGAGTCCCCCTTCTAAGTTTGTTCCGATCCGATGGCCATCGGATGGCCAATGTTTACATCAAACTTTGATGATCTACGTGTATTTTTGAAACAATCGTAAAGACGGGCTTACATGTAGTTGTGTTAGTGTTCATAGAAAGGGCTCATCCACTGCAATATTTGTGGAGTAAGGTTAGATTTACCTTATTTTGTTCTCCGGTAAAACTTGGTCAAAATCTGCGCGTCGAAATACTAGTAAACTAGCGATTGATGTGAAAATACGCTAAAACGTTGATAAATCGCCCTCAAAGAATTAAATGACCAAACGGGAGGCAAGACAATTCACTCGGCCAATTAATTTCGAGAGCCAATTTTTCAGCGCCTTCACACATTTTTCTGCGCCCATTTGTCGACCCGTGCTGATAATTTTTACTTCAATCCATGCAAGTGGCTAGCTACTAAAATAGAGATATGAAAAGAGATAAAATCATTAATATGGCCAAATTCAAACAAAAAAAGAGCACAAAGTAAAACGCATTGCTATTCTTGATTTTGATATACTGTAGTATTAAGTTCATGTTTTTCATTCAATGTCACCAAAAATGACGCGTACCTTACGACACTCAACTGGACATGGCACGTAGGCAGGACATACTGCGCTTGCGCGAAACATTGATTTTTCAAGGTTTTCGTTGTTGATGGTTGCTCGTCAAAGTTGCAGACGATATCTTTTCCGACACAACATTTGAAAACTATAGACAGGGTCCTTGAATACGCGACCACGACATTGAAAGATACATTCTGCGGAAGTGCTGTGTACAATACATTACACCGTTTTGCGCACGAGCAGTGCGTTCTGCCGAAGTGCCAAGGGTCAACTTGACAACACTGCAAAGAAAAAAAGGGGCAGGCCAACTACAACTTCTAGAACAGCTGACAGTAGTAAACAAGCCTATCTTTAACTCCATTTTATCCATCCCCAGGTATCCATCCTGGTCAGATCGAACAACTCATGATCAGATCTGTCCTTACGCCATCTTACTAAAATGAACTGCTGAACCTAACAAATTTTGACATAACTGGGGACAACTAGATCCCACCTGTTCTTTCTAACCCGAAAAGTCTACAAATTGGACCAAAATTTTCAAGGAAGAGGATTTTCAAGGATACTTAAAAGCTCTGCGCATGACAACTGTGACGTCAGCTCTTGAGTAACGTAAACGTAAAGAGATAGAAGGTAAACCTCGCCTCACCTATATTTCAGTTCTGTCACGTGGACGTGAAAACAAACAATAGTGAGGAGGCTTGATATATGAGGAATCCCTCAACCCCAACAAATTACTGTCCAAGCGCACCGCTACCAATCACAGCCAGGCTAATAACAAATGCTCTGAATGATGGCTACGGCTTGATCGAGTTACAAAAAGCGCTGTAATTCAAAGCATCCTTACAGTAAGTTACACAACTGAACTATCAATCGGTGTACGTCGAAACAACAGAGAATGGTAACGCGTGCTTTTAGGTGTATCTGAATAGGTGTATATCATACAAATAGGGCATAAACTTTCGTTGAGATCACATAAAAGAAAGAACATGCATGTAGCAAGAAAAAAAAAAGTACACTAACAAAAGCATTACACCAGTCGCAATAGTGATGGGAATCGGATGAAGCCTTGTACAGTTGAATGTTTAAGCGCAAAAACATTTGTCTAGCATAAAGTTTCATTCTTCTCTGTTGCGACCGCATGCTAGTTCCAGCAGCTAGCCAATTCAACAACACAAGAACGCTTAGGCGGCCGACTGTATGTTACCCGTCACTGAAATCACCTGCTGATAAATACGTTCGGACCAAAGAAGGGCATTTAGGACATGAACAACGACAATTATCCTCGGTTGTACAGTTAGTTGCTGCACCACGTGTCTGTGAAATTTTCCCTTTGTTGGCTTTTGTGGGAGGGTGAAAGGACGGAGTACAAACCGATGTGGCGCGTTAGGGTCAACTTCGTTAGCAAGCTTCGTCAAAACCTTCATTACCCGTTACCTCAGTCTGACCTTTGCCTGGGACAAATACGAAATGCTGAGAAACAAACAGCACAACCCCACACGCACTAACCCTTTCAATAGATACGTTATGACGGGGTTAGCGCTCACAGGTAAACTTTAGTGACGACCAATTTGTGGCGATAAGCGACAAAATCATGGTTACTGTACTTTATAGTCTGGCGTTTCGTCACACTGGTAGGGACAATTCTACGGAAGAATCACGTTCACCTGAAATGTTTGTCTGTACCTTCAGTTACAATAACAAAACGCTTCTGATACGTAATAGAGAACGAGACGATGACGTCCTTATAGACGTCAGTATGGCTGTAGGGTGGGCGGTGTGTGAATGTGTCCTAACAACTTTACTCCTACACAATTAGGTGTTTAAGCGCTTCATTTCTATCCATGTCGCCCGCCAATGGAGCGTTTTCCTTTAGAAGGCTGCAGGACGACTCATGTCGGGTTCTAAAACTGGCGGATTTTCTGTTACCAGCGCAAGTGCAAAGAGAGACCATTGTTGGCGTTATCAATCATTGCCACGTAGTCCGTACGTGACCATGCGAAGATAGGCCCGTGCCTGCCCGTGGGTGACAGCGGCTCTGTAGTCCTTACGTACCGACCACTGGAGGTCATCGGTCGACCAGTGGTCAGAGGCCGCCGACTACCGTTGTGGCATTGGCTGGGCTGGCACGTGACGTCCCCCCAGGCGCGCGACATTCCCCCGGCATTGCTAGCTTCATTCGACAAGAAAAGATGCGTGACTTGGGCGAGCCGGGCTCCGTACCAGCGAGACAAAAGGCAATGTGAATCAAACCCTGACATTAACTCGCGCGTCTGGCACACGTCTTGCCTCAGTGGTGAACATCCAAGGCAGACACGGGGTTTTAAAAGCCGCCATATTGATTCATTCGCCAGTCTGCTCTCGTCTGCTCGCGCAAGGCCGGCTCAAAGTGACTGATTAGCTACCTGTCTGGGTTCGTCCCGATCGACGGCCATTTTGTCAGTATTAGACGATAACGCGCCCTGTAACACGTAGAACCTCCCGTGAGGTGTACAACCGCTGAAAAAATATTCACCACCTCCACTTAATGCAGAAGGTTGAAGGCAATTGCGGGAGGTAGCTCCCGGGTAGAAATGCGGGCACGGTGGCGACAGGTTGCCCGTTTCTTCGCAGGCGACGGCTGCCACCTGAACCGAGCAAACATGACGCCGTCCTTGCCTTCGCGAAAGCTCGGGGGTGGCTACCATGAAACCGATTTTTGTGTACAATTTCGGTGGATGGCAAAGCGTATTATTCAAAGGGTTGCAGGTCGACGAGGACGTCATGCCCCAGTCGTCCATGTTCTGTGGACAGCCCCGCCAGGGCCCCTCCGTTGATGATAGACAGGAGTAGAGGTGCTGAAAAGGTGTCTTTATTAGGGAATTCAGACCTTTCCAACCGCCGCATTCTCTCCCGTCGTATAATCAACACGGGCGTAGAAATGGCGGCTGTAGAGAACATGCATTGGCGTCCCCAAAGCGATGTCGCGCATTTCAGTGGACCGTCCCCATCTGCTGTGCTCATGTAAATTACCCTGGACCGTCCATGACGTAATTCGACTCGCCCCTCGCCGTCCCGGCCCCTCGCCGCGCCTGGCCGCGGACAAGCGGACGGCATTTTCGAGCGGACGCTGCTCGGGGGCACGCACGTTTTCTAACCGGAGATCCGCTGACGGAAAGCGACCCGCGACAGGGTGTACGTGAGGAAAATGCGCCCGCGTTTTTGCCGCGAAAACGAACATTTAAATCCCCACTGTCGTCTGATTTAGCCGTCGATCAAGACCCCACAGCGCATCCATCACCACAGACAGCCTCCCGCTTTAACATGCATACATTGGCAGCGAGTTCGATTTTATGAACATGCGAAGGCTACAGGCAGGAGCTATAGAGCAGCTTTTCAGCGTTTCGCCCGACTGGGTCTATGTGCGGACATAAGCGACCGCAAGCTCGCGTTAAGCGAATGGCCGACAGCCGCTTGCGAGCTGATTTGCATGTTATCAGGGCGTCAGGTCCAGGGGGCACACCTTGACAGGGCCTCCGCGTCGAGCAGGCCTTACGTCATGCAGTAACACGTCTTGGGCCGTCCCCTCGCCGGAAAATAAAAATATATATTAAAAAATGTCACCAAAACGAACCAAGACTTATGATAACACAAACATTTTAATAAAGGAAACAGGTCCGTGGGATTTCTTTCAAGATTTTATTACAAAAAAGGTCTTCACGTCCCGCTTCCAATATAGCCGACAACTAAACCATTTGTCGACCCTGAGACGTTTCTTTTGTCGCTATTGAAATAACTATAATATTCGTGTAAAAGATTCCACGTAGTATTTCTGTTTTCTTTAAATTCCTCTTCATTTAACGGACACGTCACACCTGGAACACCTGCCTCCACATTCGGTTTGATTATTAAAAGAACACGGATAATAAGATTTCTAACTGCATTTAAGTCGCCTAAACTGTGTTTTCAGCGACGAAAATCTCGTCTTCTAAGAGAGCCGGATCTTCCCACACCCAGTCCCATGTTTCCTTCTCCCGGTTAGGGGCTGACTCTAGTCGTCTGCATATGAAGCACGGCCCTGTACGACAGAGATACATTTCGCGGTGTCGAGTAACCGGCAAATGTACGAAGGAAGACCATCCATACACCCGGGCCATTTTCCCCACCACTACCCCGCAACGTTGGGTTCTTTCTAGAATTTAGCCGTATCTTTAATTTCTGCGGAAAATTCTGAATTTGCATCGCATCCCATTTCCTGCCTCCTCCTCCTCCTTTGCGCATCCCGTCATCCAGTGCGAGACCTGGCCCCCTGTGCCGTCCTCCCCTTTGTTTGCGTCTGCCGCGGTGCCGACCGACCTGCGTCTTCGTGCCGAGTTCTTCCCGATCTTTCTCCAAATTTTACGTGCCAGGAGAATAAGACGAACCTACGAAGGGTTGTGGAGCTCTCCACAAGCCTATAAGCCAGGTAGGGTGGTAAATCTGGACGGTGTTGTGTGTTTTTGCGGGCGTTGTGCCGGCCTGTCGGGTCTGTGGTGCGCGGTGCTTGTGGTGTTTTTGGCAAGAATAGTCTCCATGATGACACGGGCGGCGGACATGCAGACGCAGTACGTACGCCCAGCGCTGCAATCCGCCGCAGAATTTCGATCGACTCGCTGTTACCACGTAGTTCCGGGGGGACAACGTTGCATTTTCACCGCAATCTAAGGTTTGTGTGTCCGAGCATTTCGCTGCCGTGCCGGGGTCTAGTGTGGGGTGGTAGTCGGACGTTCGGGTCGGCGGTGTGGCTGTGGGTTTGGGCAGGGAGAATCATGATGACATGGATGCAGACACACTGCGAGCACTCGCTCCCATTGATCGACTCCCGCTCGGCTTCAATTTGTAAAATTTTCCACTGGATTCGTCCACGTTTGTTACCTAGGTGTGCATGTCAAGAGCCCTGGGAGGATTGGGTAGGTTTTTACCGGCGTTATTCTACAAAATCGGGGAGGGGAGGCGTGTACCGTTGGTCGGGGGTGTCGGGCCCCAGAGTCGGGCCCAAGCCTGCACTGCCCGGCCGAGCGTCCGCTCGCCTCGTCCCTGGCCGAAAGGTAGGTCTTACTGACTGGTACAAGGGCATAGTCTGTCCTATGTTGTAAAATATGGATGTTCTGTGTGTTTTGTGTGACGGTTTTTGGCGGACCCCGTCCGGTAGCCAGCTATCATGGCAGCACACACGCACAGCGGATGTGTGGCCGTGGCAAGATGGAGGACGTGCGCACGTCTGATAATAAATTTGTCCTTCCTCGCGAGGCCCCGTCTGACATTTTCAACACTTCATTATCTGACAGAACGGTCTGACGCCGCGCACACTTATCCTGCCGCGGGACGCAGAGGAGGCATTTGGAGTAGGTTTTGCTGCAAGAGGGCACGTATGGGGTGACGGGCGGCCTCGTCCAAATTGTGGGTTTGGGCGGGTCGGTTCGGGTCGGCATTTCTTACTTCCCCACAGAGGCCGGGCGGGACAGGTTCGAAAACCATGTCCAGACTACCCCGCCACAGTCGTGCGCCTGGGAGCGTCAGATCGATGGACGTTATCATGTTGTTCCGGCGTCGAGTGTGGGAAAACTACAGGTTGCCACTTCCTCAGCCATTCAGGCATTCCTCGGGCGCTCGGGACCCGGCCGCTACCGGGATTCGGCGGCACACGGTGCCCCTCGCGTCGTGACCGACTGACCCCTAGATCCACGTCCGCCCTCCCCTTGCAGACCTGCGTCGCCGCGCTAGTCGCTCGCGTCCGCAGTGCTGACACTAGGCAGGCTCCACAGACATTACAACAGCACAAATATATCCCAAACACCTTGCTGTAAAGTGGCAATAACATTGGTGTGTGTGTCAAAGGTTCTCTGTGGTGAATGATTGTCCCCGGCACGGGAAGGACTAACGCTACACCAGCTCGACCTTCAGACTGCCATGTCTGTCGTTCTGCCGCTGTGTCATCAAATAAAGACTGGGGCCTCCAGGGGCTTCAAAACGAGCCCTCCCTCCTGCAATTTGCTGAAACACTGCCGTGTTCTGTGATGATAACCCCCAACGGTGCATAATTTGATGATATTTGGATGATTTGCTAGACCCACTTCACCCCCACCTGCCACCCTGTTTTAGTCAGTTTAGCATGACAATATTCCTGAGGCAGCCCCCCAGAGCACAGGTTGACCCTGTTTACTACAGTGGACGGACTGCCAGGGTCGACTGTTTGAGGTTTGGGTCCTGTTTGTGTGGGGCCAGCCTGTTGCAGACTTTCTGCCCAAGTCTGTGCCACAGATGTAAGTCTGGCTGTTCTTTCGTTTGCTGAACTTGAGCCCCGAAACAAAACACCGACCAGAGGCTCAATTAGACAAAAGACTAATTCAACTCTGAACAAAAGAAATCTACAGAATGACGATTGTATTACCTTATTGTGTAAACAGGCCATAGCACAAACAAAACAACCACCAAGAACTACCTTTATGGTGATTTTCACAAGCGATTCAATGGTTAGAAGAAGGCTAAAAATAGGTAGTATATCAGAATACAATACTACTCTCTGCATTTCTTTTATCTAATACAAAAGATTTTCAAATGTCATAACGTTATGTTAACTTTTTTTTTACTTGTACATGTAACGTTATATGGTCTTTACACCTTTCTAACTCTAATGAAGCTTTAGGTGCATTCTCCCTTTTTGGATTTGAAATATCATTTTAGATAGTTATTCTCATACACAGCGCACTGTTTGGTACCATTTCATTTTTACGTGGAGATAACTGTATTACGAATCCCAAGAGTGTGTCGATGTTATATTCTGTGCCATTACCCTGGTCGGGTTAACAAGTGTTTGCTTATCATGTCACATGTTTATGTCTGTAGAGTATGCACAGAGACCAGCATACATGTACTCACAAAACCATATCCACCAGCAGAGGGTCTGTCGGGGGGTTGCAGAATCACCTAAGTTGAAATTTATCATGCGTTTGGAATAAACTCTACACACTGCTGTTTACTGATGTTAAATGACTTCCAGGAAGTTGAAAGACTGGTAGAATTTTTTTTCTAAACATCCTTACCAACCAGCAGGTTCGTTCTTTGTTTGTTTAAATGTTTCACCTGTAACATACTGTAAGGAGAAGTGATGCGACTGCCCCCACATTGAGCCAGGAAGTGGGAATTATGAGACCATGTGGAAGTCAATGATGGAGTAAGCAAGGCGGTAGCTGTCGTCAGTCTATAGGCAGAACACTTCATGTTTGGCATGTATATTAGTATGAAAACAGCGCTCCCTGCCAATACAACCTGTTAATATAGAATGGCAGCCAATACTGTAGTTTCCCAAATCGTAGTTTCTGCTTGAAGAAAGACACATTTTTATGTTTCGGTATTTCTGTAGAACTTGAAGGGAATAGAGACGTCATATGAGGTCAGGTTGTCTTGGTACCATGAATGTTTACACACTAGTACACCTTTAGCTTGTACCTAAAACGAAAGTCTACAACAGGCTTATGAGTCTAAGATGATGGTGGGGGTGAAGTAAAGATGTAAAAGTGGTTTGAACTAAACTGGCATTTGAAGGATTTGGTAAGAAAGGTTAAGTCTGTTTGCCAGGGCTATCATACTTGCTCCCATCCAACAAACATTTTTATTGAAAGTGTATAGGAGTCCTGAAAGCAGATATTTAGGATGGCACCCAGGCTAAAGAAAAATGTACCGTTTTACATGTAGAAGTGGCAAGGGGTAGTGGGAATGAATATGTTAGGAGAAAAAACAACCAAAAAAAGGGTGTCCTTTTCAATCAAGAGACCTGGTTAGCTAAGGACATGAGTGCAATTTTCTAGGCTGTGTCTGACAGAAATTTTGCAGCTCATGATGGACAAAAATTTTGCCCAAACAATTTGTGGACGAAAATATCTTAAAAATAAAAATCGGCGTGTAAATATGTAAAAAGAGCTATCATTTATCTAAGCTTACTTTGCCAGCAAAATTTGGCCCTGAAAATGTAGGAAATAGCATTTCAGACTCAGAGGGTGAAGACTTTAAAATTTCCAAGGGGAGCTAGGCTCAGGGAGCATGACCCCCCCCCCCCCAACCTCCATATAATTGTTGTACCTTTGGCTCTCGACATGGTGAGATGACGGAAAAAAAACCTTCAGGCTGGCAGATACACTACATGTACATGAATATGGGAGGGAGTAAAACCATGAAACAGTTGGTGGTTTAACGTCACACTCACAGTACTGAAAGTGATAGTTTGTGAGTAAGGCATGGGTCACGGAAGATAAAACTAATCCAGTAAGGATTTGTATTTTGCCAGCACATTATTTGGAAAGACATTAACCTTCTCCATGCTGCCTAACCCCCGCAACACAAACACAGTGGCAGAGAGAAGGTTAATAGACACCTGCCATTGGGTTCACATGACATGGAAATAACGACAGGTGTGAATCATGGTTTAAACTAGGGCTGCGTACCTAAACGCAACATCAGGTACAGGTACAGGTACCGGTACAGAGGTTTAGGTACAGGTCCGGACCTGTACCTGTACCTGAACAATTTGACAAATTAACACGTGTTCTTCACTTTTTCAATCATGACACAAACAATAATAAAGTGTTGACAACTTGTCAGTATCTTCCAATCACAACCCTGGATCAGCCACACTCTCGCGATGTCTCGTGAGACTGAGGATCTCAAATCAATCGACGGTGTTTACGTCTTTTCCAGTGCTAATTTTTCGTCTTTGTGGTAGGATTTACCTATCTTTAGTCATATACATGGTGTAAACTAGCTATTTCGGTATATACTCGTTACTTCATGATCCGGTATTTTGGACCTGTACCGAAACGATTTTTACGGTATTGGACCGGTACAGTGTACCGGTCCGCAGCCCTAGTTTAAACCATCTTTGTCAGTGGAGATGGTGTTACTCTTTCATATGTCCTGAACGAAATATATCAAGGGTTTCATACCCCACCTTGTTTTACTACATGTACATCAAAACTTATTGGCCAGATGCATACTGGTTCAGCCATTCTGCACTTTCACACCTATCAAGAGCGTTTTATGTCTGTTGATAGAGGGGTTAGGAAGAACGACAAATGCCCTACATGTCCAAGATTTTTTCCCAAGATTGTTGGAAAAATTAACTGATTGAACACCACTACATGTTCCCTGAATTAAAGGATTACTTGATTGACTGAGCCACCTTTGACAAGATGACAAGGCGCTCAGGTGGTAGCCTTGACAACTTCAGAAGGATGGGCAGTCCCCATACCCCTAGCCTCCTCTGCAGACTTCTTGGAGTTGCAGCATTTTGTTTGAGCGATGGTACATGTATGTGATCTTTTTTACATTTACAGGGGCTAAGGTTCCCTAATGTGGCAGGGGGAGTTACATGTATGCCTCGGAGGGAGTTACCGGTATGCCTTATGGCTCTCTCCGCAGATACAGCTCTAC